ATATATATATCATATAATATATAATACAAAAATAATATATATATAATATATCATATGCATGTATACACACTTACTCGCTTTATCCGTTTCCCTACGTTTTCTTGCACATCATTTCCAGTCAAAGCGTTGAAGGGCAAGGGCACGCACCCTCGGTTCAGACCTTCACCAAAGGCTGAATAGCTTGGTGTGGTCAGAGCACGTCCAACCTTATGCCGTCACATCATCTGTGGCACCGTGTGTGCCAAACGATGGCAAGAGTCAGTGCATTCTGGAGTCATGCTCGTGCCATGATATCTACATACAGTACGGAGAGCAAACTTGTTCAGCCAGTCTTTTTCGCGCGCCACGTTTCAGCCAACTAAAGACAGGTCATTGGCCTTTAGCGGAAACATGGTAAGCTGCCCCATTTCAGGGAGCGCTGAAGCACATCTATAGCAAAGACCTCACTACATACCGTTCTTCATCTACATGAGTAGCACCTTGCACCCCGCTGTGTAGAACCCAAGGCAGCACAGCGCATGTGAGAAAAGCACAGTACATGGCATGTGAGAATACGAGGATACTAAAGGAGTGGCAGCAATCCATCCTTCGCCAAAAAAGAACCCCCAAAAGGAGCTGACTGCCTGATAGACATGCTCTGGCAGCACTCGCCTTACACAGGTCTCCGTCACTTGATGCAATTGAAACAAATCTGGCCATGCCAAGTCTGCCCAGCAAAATTGGACCAGTGACGATCCCCTGCCTCCGCCTCTTCCACAAATAGCCCAACCTGAGCTGCCACCTGCGCGTGCTCCAGAAATGTCACAGCGTAAGGATGACACGTTTGGGGGTAAATCCAGCAACAAAAACCACTACCATTGGCACCTGGGGGTTAGTCAAACCATGTCAAACATAGTCAAACCCACCACACAGGGCTTTGATGCCGATGCCAATGAATTGGTAATCTGACTACGTTGAATGGGAAACCCATGGCAGCCCTATTCAACGCCTTAGACTCACGGCCCTTTCCCGACTGTTGGAGAGGCACCAAGGGAGAAATGCGCGCTTTCAGCCTTTCATTGGGGTGTGCTTGAAGAGTTCATGTTTTTTTTTAAATCTTTTCATTTTTCATTTTGATCATATTTCCCCACCTGCCAGGTGAGGGTTGTTAGATTTTATCAGAGTTGTTCTCCTCCTCCTCCTCGGCTAGCTGTCCTCCTCCTCCTCCTCGTCCTCCTCCTCCTCTAGTTTCTCCTCGACCATGTCTGCATCAATTTCCACCTCCACTTCCGCCTTGCCAACTCTTCGCCAAGCTCTTTGCCAACTTCCCAGCTCAGTGCTCAACCTGGGACCTGCCCAGCTCAGTGTGCACCGCTGGACCTCAACCTGGGACCTTCCCAGCTCAGTGTGCACCGCTGGACCTCAACCTGGGACCTTGCCAGCTCAGTGTGCACCGCTGGACCTCAACCTGGGACCTTGCCAGCTCAGTGTGCACCGCTGGACCTCAACCTGGGACCTGCCCAGCTCAGTGGGCACCGCTGGACCTCAACCTGGGATCTGCCCAGCTCAGTGTGCACCGCTGGACCTCAACCGGGGACCTGCCCAGCTCAGTGTGCACCGCTGGACCCCAACGGCCAGATAGAATGCCAGAAGAGATGCCAGATAGAATGCGAGAAGATATGCCAGATAAAATGCCATAAGATATGCCAGATAGAGTGCCAGAAGATATGCCAGATAGAATGTTAGAAGATATGCCAGATAGAATTCCAGAAGGTATGCCAGATAGAATGCCAGATAAAATGTCAGATAGAATGCCAGAAGATATGCCAGATAAAGTGCCACAATGTTTGCCAGATAGAATGCCAGAAGATATGCCAGATAAAGTGCCAGAATGTTTGCCAGATAATATGCCAGAAGATATGCCAAATAGAATACCAGAAGATATGCCAGAACATATGCCAGAAGATATGCCAGATAGAATGCCAGAAGATATGTCAGATAGAATGCCAGCAGATTTGCCAGTAACAAAATGTATAAATGTCATGGTGGGGATCACACGAAGTAAAGTATTTTTTTTGGCTTGAAAATTATCATTCCCTTTTTATCACCGTTAATTTTTTCATGGCTTTTCATTCCTGTTTTTCATCCCTTTGGCATTTTCATTTTTCTTTCCTTTGCTTCGAAAATGGTCCTTGGTCCTTGGGAATTGCCGCCGGGGGCTTTTTCTCGAACCCTTTTCGTTGTTTTTTTTTGGTTTTTGTTTCTTTTTTCCTTTTTCGTTTCCTTGTTCATTTTCGTTTTCTTTTTCAAATTTGTTTTTTTTTTCTCGTTTCCCTTTTCATTTGTGTTTTCATGTTCGTTTCTTTTTGTGTTTTTTCATGTCGTTATTCATTTACATGCTTTTTGTTTCCTTTATCATGTCATTTTTCATGCTCATTTTTTTGCATGTTTATTTTCATTTTGTTTTTGTTTTCATTGTTTGTGTGGGTTAAGGTATATGTGATTTCTGCTTTGTCCATTTTTGCTGTCGTTTCTTTCTTAGTTTTCATTTAATTTCTCATTCGGTATATTATTATATTTTCTTTTTCTGTTTTTGCTTCGAGTCATTTTCGATGCTGAATGACAAGTACATGATGGCAAAATGCAAAGAAATGAACAAGTATGAACATGATAATTACTTGATATTAGTTGCACATGAAGGAAGCGTGATAAACAAATGAGAATGACACTTGCGCATGATTGGAGAATAAACAAAATGAAAATGACGATTTCACATGATTGGAAAATGATATGAAACAGGAAAAATAAAAACAAAACGAAAAACACATAATTCCTGGATATTCCTTGGTCCGGACTCAGTCTGTGGCTGTAAGATTCTCATAAGAAGAGTCCTCCTTTCTCACAATCCGCTGCCCGCGCCCCATACCTGACCTGGTCTCTTTCTGCCCGCACCAGCTCAAATTTGGGCCTGCGGCGCTGAATCAAAAGAAGGGGGTGTAGAATCGCGGGATGAACTACTGAACAGCCCCAAAAAAGAAAAGGCAAAAGATGCCAAAAAACATCATATTGAAAACCTTCGCATCAAAACTACTTCGGCTTGTGCATGTTCTCGGCATCTTTAATCGCACAAAGCCAGGCAGGTTCAGCCTTCGGCGAAGAAAATACACAAAATACTCGAAGCCATTCTCGTCCTCACATTACAAGATCTCAATCTGCAAGACTGTTCCGATCAAAGCTGCGCCTGCAAAGTAATGAAATGCGTGAAGGAAAGCGGCAAGCACTTCCTCTCCCAAGCTTTTGTAGCCAATATGCCATGCCTGGAACTGAAAGCCAAGCTCTTGGGGGTTACTGAGTAGTCAAAGTTTGCAAAGCATGCGGTCCTGTGAGAATCATCTGAGCATCTTTCAGCTGCACATGTCCCTGCCTCTCTTTGGGCAACTCGACTTAAGACCTTCCGCAAGACATCAAATGCTTCCCCAAGTACAAGCCCGCTATGAAGACGGTGAAATCCAGCTGCATCATGCTGCAGCAAGCGATTTCCAACTCTGTGCTTGTACTCTGCATTCCTTCTGAAGATTGCCAACCTCCAATCGGAGCTCCGGTGCAGTGTGTGTGAACCTGAGGCACATGCGTGGCACATGCCTGGCAAGCCAAAGGCCAGACCAAACAGCTGTGCAACCAGGAGGCTGCAGCCATGCTGCATCGGCGGATACCTTCAAAACACGATTCACCTGAACAAAATTATCCGGCATCGTTTGTCATCACACGCATCACAGGAAAGGCACAGCGACACATGAAGAGACATGGACATGGAGATTGACAGCGAAGCGGTGGTGTGGTCAAATTGGAACCGTTGTTCAAACACACAAAGAAACGGCTCAGATACCATTGCCTCCTTGAAAAGGGATGCTACTCCATCTGCATCGCTTGCATGGGTGCCTGCAAGGATCCATCTGCAAATAATCATCAAGCCCCAGCCACTTTCAGCTGCAAAGTATGGGATCTTGCCCCGTTCCGACTACACTAGAAGAGATTTCGGCTTGGCTGGGACCCTTCAAACATCTTCAACCAATTACTTATTCACACGTATCCTGGCGAAGCGTAGCACCGCATCTTTGAAACATAGAAAACTTGGTGCACCGAAGCCCTTCCTTGATCCGGCGAACGAATTGGAGAGGCTTCAAACGCATCGAAAGTGCCCTCCCAGGGTTGCCGGAGAGATCAAGAAAGCAATCACGCATGAACAGGCACAAACAGCACAAACATTCAATTTTGCAGAAATCCAGCTGGAACCCTTTCTACCTTGTCTATCACTAGGTCGAAGCTGCTGCTCTGAAATGGCATGTCTCGAATGTCTGCCACAAGCCACCTTTGCACTCTCCGCAGTTTCCCACACATCAGCTGACCGGGAGTTCAACATGTCAAGTTGCGTTGCAATGTGTCTGCGTTGAATTCGCATCTTGGGCGCTGGCTGGTTTCGCATCGCACCAATGTCACTGTTCTGTATTTGTCGCATGGCCTTTAGCATCGCACTTAACATCAAAAAACAGAAACCAATTCAAAACATGGCAACGTCAAGGCCTCTATGGCAATAGGACTGAAATCCACATTCACCACGTGAAGCTCTGCTGCCACACAAAGAGGCTCCCTGCAAGTATGTCATGGACACAAGACGAACACAAGCTCTCAAGGCAAAAGCTACCGAGTCTCGCCTAGCCAGTTCAAGTCCGAGTGAACTTGTCCCACAACCAAGATTTAACGCCTTACGCTCCTGAAGCGTCCAGTCACTCACACTCATGGCAAATGCAGAGGGTCAACGATCGGGATTGATTGAGTTGAAGCATCACTGAAGGCTGGAGGCAGAGCCCCAAGACCCGAGCGGGCGCCTGCGTTCTCCATGGTTTGGATTTGCAAATCTCCTGCAGGGTTCCTTGAAGCAATACCTGGACAGATCGCAATGGCAACTGATAGCATCTACACAGTAAAGATCTGCGCAAGCGACTTGGTTTTCTCTGAAAAGGGACTATCGCACGATACCGACGATACCCAATGTCCATAATTTGTTGTTCAAGTTCAATATGAACGTGTTTTGGCTTTGAACATGATGATACAGGAAAGCGGGTACACCATACAAAAAACGGATGCGCAGCGGCAAAGACCATTGAGAACGATCAAGAAGACAAAACCCAACATGAGAGACTCATGGAGACTGTGTTGGGAAACGTCCTCACAAAAAAATCAAGGTTGTCAGAAGGTCATGGCAAAAGGACTGGTTAAAACAGGGCAGCTGAGGGATGGCGGGCGCTGGAAACAAAGCAGGCAAGGCTTAGGTGAACTCAGAATCTATGGAAAATCATTTTCTCTATTCCGAAAATCTTCCAGGGTGTGAACCTTTTGGCCGCCCAGTGCGAGTTTTCTTACAATAGATGTAAGGGCGGTCTCACAGTGAGTTTCGACCGTTTCCTGAAACTTTACAATGAATAAGGATGCGGGTTAAAACTAGAAAAAATCCGGTTGTTGGGACCCTTAATGACACAAATTCGTCTTCAATTCTCCCACTTGAGAAGAAGCCAAGGTCACCGGCATGTCAGCGGATCCATCAAGACAGCTTGCCTCCACACACTGCTGAGGCCCCAAAAACCATTCCTCGGACACAAAGACACTTGATTCATCTTGATTTGTCTTATCAAAATATCAGAGCATATCAGAGCCTTCCTTTGCCCCCCACCTCTCCCACATGTGCTAGCAAGCCGCGGAGCAAACATCTATCTGATCATCGGAGGAAATTTGGAAGTCAAACTTCGGACAGTATGGACAGATGAAAAAGCAGAGGCGGGAAGAGCCAGAGAAGAGGAGAGAAGAAGAAAGAAGATCAAAGACGAGAAAGAGTCAGACGAAGATGCAGGTGTGCGAAAAGGTAGAAAGGTCGCAAAACACTGTTTTTCCAACGATTTGTGGCTCCGGAGGGTCGAAAAGTAGGCTCGCTAAAGCGGCGGGTGCGGAGCCAGCTGGCCAGATGAGAGATGAAAAAGTGCACGGCGTTGTGGCGCGGCACATTTCGAAGTCAAAAAGTACAAAGCATCTCATTGTCGGAGCACTTTTGGAAGTTGAGATGTCGAAAAAGTGCACGCCGTTGTGGTGCGAAGCACATTTCGAAGTCCAAAGTGTTAAAAATTGACGGGTTCGGGGCACTTTTGGAAGTTGAGCTGTTGAAAAAGCGCACGGCGTTGTGGCGCGAAGCACATTTCCAAATCAAAATGCGCAAAGCACACCAGCTTCGGAGCACTTTTGGAAGTTGAGATGTTCAAAAAGTGCACGCCGTTGTGGCGCGAAGCACATTGGAAAGTAGAACTGCTAAAAACACCACACGGGCGGATTTTTGGACGTTGAAGCGTTGTTTTGCGCGGCAGGCACAAGGGATTCTGCACCTTGCCAAAAGTGAGCAAAAGGTGAAGGTTTTGTAGGACTTCCAAAAACGCCTTAGCAGCTATGTGGCATTTGAAGAGGGTCGGCAAAGATGCATTTCGCGTGGCAGGCGCAGTACACAAGACACATGAGTCAGACATGTTAGGAGGTCCGGGCGCTGATTGCCTGAGAGGGGTTGCATTTTGGAGCATCAGATCTTCAGTTTTGGGAAGGTGATTTTGCGTGACAGGCGCAGCACTTCGTATGACCTGGGATCACTTTTTCGTGGCAGGCGCAGTACTTTAGACAGGTGGAGTGGAAAAATCCGAAAACACATTGGCACGAGGCCGTCAGCTCTGCACTCAACTTTCCATTTTTGAAGGACGTCTCGCAGAATTGCTTCGTTTTTGATGTTGTCAATTTTGAAAATTGAGGAAGTCTCACAAAATTTATTCATTTTTGATGTTCTCAAGGTAAAAGAAATAAGGGTGTCTCGCAGACTTGTTTCGTTTTCGATGTTGCCATCTTCGAAAATGGAGGACATCTCGCAGAATTGCTTCGTTTTCAAGCTTGAAGATAGAAAGGTAGATAGATAGATGGATAGATAGATAGATAGATAGATAGATAGACAGATAGACAGACAGATAGATAGATAGACAGATAGACAGACAGATAGAATAGATAGGTAGATAGATAGATAGATAGATAGACAACTACAACTACGACTACAAATAAAGGACGCTACAGTAAACTACAGTAATTACTAATTACATTACGCTACACTACTTACAGTGCACTACACTAATTACACTGCAACTACAACTACAGCTACAGCTACAACTACACTACACCACACTACTTGCAGTGCACCGCACTGCACTGCACTGCACTACACTACACGACAACTACAGCCACAACTACAGTACATTACACAACGCCACACTACACTAATTACACCACACTACACTACAGCTACAACTACAACTGCAACCGCGACTACGCTACATTACACTACACTACACTAATTACACTACACGACACTACACTACACTACACTAACTACAACTACAACTGCAGCTACAACTACAACTACACTCCTCTACGCTACACTACTACATTAGACAAAACTACGCCATACTACACCCCACCCATCACCTAGGGCACCCCCAGATGCATCACTTTCGGCACCCCCCTGAAATGGGCGCCCGGAGCGATGCACGATACAGGGCAGTGCACAACACTACAGCACACTACGTTACATTGCATTGCTTACACTACACTAATTCCACCACACCACAACTGCAACTGCAACTACACTTGCGCTACACTAATTACACTACACTACAACTGCAACTCCACTACGCTACAGATACAACTGCACTACACCACACTGCATCCAGCAGTTGTGGGTGAGGTGACCACTCAACCATTGTAACCACTCCAAAACACACAACTCCAACCACCTTTCGGTCCATCAGAGGATTCGCTCTGCCATCCATGCGCCACAACAACCAACCTCTCCTATAGGTTTCCTATCTTTGAAACTTCCGCCACCGCCTTGTGCTGTACTACTGGTACCTGGTCTATATTGATCTATGGCATCCATGAGACCTATGCCAAGATTCGTGCGATGCGCTTGGGCGCGAACTTGCCCGATGGTACTCCTGAGAGGTAGGCTTTGGAGAGGATAGGACAGAACGTCACAGAAGCCTAGAAAAAGACGTTGTAAGGTTCAATGCATCGAGTTCAAACCCGTTCCTCCCAGAAAGTCTTCTGCATAAATCGCGTCGAGTCAGCTTTGCCTTTCGGGATCTTTCGGGCATACGCTCTGTGCAAACGGCAAAAGGACATCGAGCTTCTCACCACAAACTGAACAGCCGTTACACACCTCGTCTAGTTTGATGCGTCCGGACTCGGACATTGGACAGCCTCCTGAAAGCAAAATAGGAACAACACAGACCCAGCATTGACAACATATTTGAAATTCTTTGGGCATCGAAACATAGACAAACCCTTTGCATCCCTTTGCGGTTTCGGCAAAGGTTGCATGCAAACTTCTTAGGATGTTCTTACGAAGCTTGGACGCATACAACGGATCTGATAATATTAAACTTTAACAGCCCGCTCTCCCACACCTGGCAACATGTACAACACCTACTGTACCTGTGGGAAGTGCCAAAAAATGGGAAGGGGCCATGGCGAAGCAAAAAGGGACAGACTACCTGAGCCAATCCTCATGTCCCCTGAAAAGGACACGGATCTGATAAGAAACTCTTACAACACCTACTACACGACTCTGTACGCTCGATATATCATTTAAAGAAATTCCTAGAGACAAGTATAGCATAGTAATGCATAGTATAGCTATGTATCGTATGTATAGCTTGCATGTCTATCATGTCTTCACAGCTCGCCCGCTTTCGGACCTTGCCGTGTTCAGAAACGTTAAAGCAACCATTGCAGCAGGAAGTATGCGCACGGCCGCACGGGCTTGAGCAGCTTCCAGCAGTGCTCATCCACGCTTTCATGGAATTCGTCAAGACACTGTCAAACATCCTATGTCAACCCGAGCGTCACTTACAGAATTGCTGCGGTCCAAACACATTATCATAATTTGTCACACATGCAACTTTTGAAACAGGACGAAACATGAACTACCAGAGTTCTAGGTCAGTAGCCCACCGCTTCGCAGGAATTTGCATGAGGAATCTCAACCTGAAAACAATCGAAAGGTGCGCCTGACAGTTGCGTCTTTGGCGTTGCAATATATACACGTTTGAAGTAACGTACGGATCTGCAATGTTTGCGCTCTGCACTCTGCGCTAGGATATGCAACTTTAAACTGCACCATCATTTGACGTCAATATGGCTAGGCTAAGCGTCACGCTCAGCTGTGCAATGCAACGGATCTGAAAGCGAATGCAGGGCAGATCGAAAAGCCGCCTCGCGCACCAAATTGCTCCGAGCTTTCGGTTTTCAAACATGTGAATCGGCTTGTCGGCCTCAAGTCTGCCACACTTGGAGACTCCTGCCATTTCAACATGTTCAAGACGTGCATGGCTCTGTGCTTCTGCGGTGTAAGAACCAAGACATGTTTCCAGCCCCCAAGTCCTCCTTCGAAGCGCTTGGTGTGTGCCAACTCCTGGCGAATCTTTTGCTGAATGCGCAACATCACCTGACAGGGCCACAGTATCCACCAGGGACATCCAAGGACAACCTCATGCCATTCAGGTGCGCCATAGCCCCAGTTTGGTTCCAGCAAGTGCGTATGTATTAATATGATTTCATCAGCGTGGGTGCAATGTGTGTCCTTAACCTGCTTTGCGTCGCTGCGCCGCTGCGCCGCTCCAGTTGGTATGTGCACGCTGTGCTTGCTGTGGTACCTTGCTGCGCCGCTGCATGTGCTTGTGCGTCTCTGCGTTGGTTTGCACCGCTGCTCTGCTGTGTAATCATGTGCGCCAGTGCGCTGCTGCGCCGTTGCGTTGTTCTTAGCTTGCATTTGCGCCGGCCGCTGCTGCGCCGCTGCTGCGCCGCTGCGCTGTTGGTAGGTTGGATTCGCGCCGGTGCGCTGCAACCTTTCCAACCTACCAAACCTACCTAACCTACAAAACCTTTCTAACTTATCTAACATATAAGAACCTATCTAACCTATCTAATCGATCTAATTTACCTAACCTTATCTAACTATATAATTTTATCTTTCTAATCTTATCAATCTCTCTTCATCTATTCTCTCTATCTATTATTCTTATCTATCTTATCTTTTCTATCTTATCTTATCTACCTAATGTTTATCTACCTAATCCCATCTATTATCTAATCTTCTCTGTTATCTGATCTTCTCTATTATCTAGTCTTATCTATCATCCAACCTGTTCAAATATGCTCAAATTGTTTCATCTCATCGTATTCTATTTGTGGTCTTTTCTACCTTCTATTTCATTACATTCTCTAGTCTTTTCCATCATCTAGTCTTATCTATCACCCACTCTCATCTAAACTTATCTAATCTTATCACCTAGTCTTATCATTGTATCTATTATCTTGTCTATTTCCTGATCTATAATCTTATCTAGTACTATAATGGCTATTATCTTGTCAGCCTCTTATCTAACATCTTGTGCAATATCGTGTCTAATATCGTATCTAACACCTTATCTATTTTCTTATCTAACACCTTATCTACTATCTTATCTAATATGTCGTATGTAATATCGCATCTAATATCTTATCTAATCTCTTAAATAATATCTGCTCTATCGCTTGTCCGATATAGTTTCCATTCTCTAATCTAATACAGTATCTTATCAAAAAGAACTAATATATTATCTGATATCGTATGTAATAGCGTATCCAATATTGTATCTAATATCTTATCTAATATCTAATATCCTAATCTCTGACCTAATATCTTGTCTAGTTTTTTTTTGTAATCTACTTTCAATCTAATCCCTGATCTAATCTGATCTAATCAAATCTAATATATCTAATCTTCCCAATCTGTCTTTTCTTATCTGATCTTATCTAATGCACTAATGCACCTTATCTTATCTTGTATGGTCTTATCATGTCTTATCATGTCTTATCATGTCTTATCATGTCTTATCTATCTAACCTTGTATGGTTATCTAACCTTATCTTATTTTATATTTCCAACCTATCTAATCTAATCGATCTTTTCTTGCCCAACCTTATCTTATCTGACCTTACCTTTTCTATCTAATATATTTTATCTTATCGAATCTATCTAATCTATCTGATCTTATCTAAGCTATCTTGTCTAATCTACCTAATATCATCTATTTAATCTTAACTATTTAACCTTATCTATCTAATCTCAACTATCTAATCTTATCTATCTATCCTTATCAATTTACTCTTACTTTTTCTCTAATCTAATCTATCATCTAGTCTTATCTATCACCTAGCCGTGTCTAATCCTATCTAAACTTATCGAATCTTATCTGTAATTTAATCTAATCCTATCTACTATCTGTTTGAATCTTATCTGATCTAATCTGACGCAATCTAATCTAATCTGATCTAATCTGATCAAATCTGATCTAATCTAATCTGATCTAATCTAATATCTGATCTATTCTTCTCTAATCTGTTCTAATCTTCTCTCATCTTCTCCAATCTTATTTAATCTTATCTTATCTGATCTAATCTTATTTAATCTGAGCAACAGGGCATCGGAGCATCGGAGCATCGGAGCAGAACTGCAGCTGCAGGAGAGCAGTGCCAAAATGTGTATGATCCAAATGAACAGACTTGCAATAGGACATCGGAGCGGAGCACCGGAGCATCGGAACAGGAACGTTCACCAGGACGCGCTCTGCACTAACTCTGGATTCAATATTATTTTATATGTATACTGTTTACTTAGTATACTTGTCATTGTGAAATCATTGTGAAACCTTGCCAAATTAACGGGACTTAGCTAAGCCTTTGCTCGTTTCGGCCCCAAACGTGAATTTATCTTGTTGCAGCTGCTGCAGCTGCTGCTACTACTGCTACTACTGCTGCTGCTCCGGTGTTCAGGCTGCTTTAGGCGCACCTCCTTCTGTTTTGAGAATGCTCTTGCACGCTGTGTCCATGTGTGAATGCGTTCTTGGGCCAGAAGGGTGTGAAGTCCTCTTGGCAAAGCTCGGAGTAGCTGAGCCACCCGTGCGTAAGCCGCGCACACACCAACGCTACGCCACAGGAAGGTCAGCATTCCAAAGACATGAGAGGTCCATTTGTTGCTCGGTCTTCGCATCCTAATTAGATCGCAAAGCGTAGGTACTCTCCGCCATTTTCAGCTTGCTTTGAGTTCTTTGTCTATACAGTTCACTCAAATCATTGCGCCATCGGGCCATCGCACCTCCAGAACACTTTGCGCCTCTCATGGCACCGATCAACGCTCAGCTCAAGCTCAGCAAAAAGTCAGGACGGTCTCACAGCTGTGCAGGTGTCCAGATTGTCCAGATTGTCCAGTCTATTCAAAAATTTCAAAATCCTTCCGCTGCGAAAGTTTCGGATCGTCCGATATCTTGACGCTACACGACCAACTTTTCTGAATGGTGCTTTTGAACCTGTATTGCGTTGCCAGTCCCAACTGCAAAATTGGTTTCTCCAGCTCTGGCCTTCGTCATGTCAGCGTAATACACGCTATGGAGCCGAAGTGGTCCAATGTTCACCTCGTCAACAAAGAACTTCATGTTAAATCTTGACCTACAGCATATTGACACATTTTCTTTACATTCTTGCCACTTTTCTTTGTTTTGCTTTGTTTGCCGGTCGTGGCAGTCTTAACTTCATTCTCTGGAATGTGCGTGTTCTGAGATGCCCGCCCCGGCCCGGTATGCTATTCGCCCTGCTCTTCGGTGCCTTGCGGAGACTGCAAAGTGTTGCCAAGCGATGCCAAGCCAGTGTTGCCAGTGTGGCACTGTCTGATCCAGCCTGTGAATGCCGAAGCCTCACATGTGTAAACCAGACATCAGCCAAGAGTTCACGTATATTTGGGCCAAATGCAAATCAAATATGTTTCCTCTGCATTCTGCTGTCTCGATTTGCTGCGCCTGGGCCTTTGGCAGCCTCCGCATGGTTCAGGTGAAACGCAATTTCAAAACAATTCAAAGCCAATTGGCTGTCAGCTCCACCGGATGACTCTCACATCGCGAAATGCATTTCGGGACAGGATTGGAGATACGGGGATTCCAAAGATGCTTCAAGACTGTAAAGAAGTTGTGGAGACAAGTAGCTGAAAGAAACTAAGAGGATCAAACTACGTAAATCAAGTTTATCACAATCACACAATCTGGCAGCAACTGCAAGACTTCAGAGTGGGTTATCGTCTTGCTTTCGGTAAGTAAGGCTGTTTATCAGTGCACAAACTTGTTTGGAGAAATCTTTTCCTTTGTAGTCTTGCTGCTTTCTTCAAGGTTCACGGGCCTACAGGAATTCAATTCTTCACAGATTTCACAGAGAAGGCTGCCCCTTTGATTTGAAAAGGCATGTTGGACTCATGGATCTAGTCCATGATGTGTCTGGTTGAGGGGCTTCAAAAGGGCCAAGGCATCCAAGGCCTGCCAGCTTGTAGATTGAACCCTCCGTCGCGCCATACGTGCCATGTCCTACACTGCTTGGGCGCAATGGGATGCCCCAGAGATTCACATGTAGATAGTGTAGATAACACATGACAACACAATGATACACAATGTGATAACATGTGGAAACATGTTGGTATGTTGTTGTCACGTTCAATCTTTGGCTTCACGTGTCACAGCCAACTCCTTCGATGAACGCATTGACTTTCGCCGCAAGATCCAGCGTTCCAGCCTGCACCCAACACACAAGGGCCCTCGGCTCAAACGCAAGCCGGTCCCCAAAAGCCGGTCCCCAACATCCTCCGATCAAATCTCTTAATCATGTCAATCAATTTCAAAGTTTACTTTGAATCCAAGTTTGGATGGAACTCTGCCAGCCTTTGCTCACCTTCCCTCCATTGACTCTAAAATTTTGCTTGTCGATATATCAGAATGTTCTTTCTTCTGAGTGGCCCGAGCGTGCATCGCTGTGCTTCTGTCAGACTGTCTAGCATGCAACGGCGTGCATGTGGAGACAACTGCCCGAGCAGCTTGAAGTGCTCCTCACAATGTCGAAACGTTCACGGCAGGTCATGGGAGGCTGCCACAGCTTACCCACACATCATACATCAATCATACATATTTAACATTATTTAACTTTCTGTTCTGCGCGTGACAACTTCCAAGACTGCTGAGATTCAAAAGCAAGTTTCCTTGCAAGAAGCTTTCGAACTGGCTTGGCATCTCTCTTTCTTGCCAAGTAATTGCGAATGGGTAATCGGTCTCTTCAGTACCTGACCGACCAGGATTGAAAGGAATGTCACATAATGTCACATACTATCACTGGTTGGCATGCGGAATTGTCAACTTTGCGTGGATCCTCATGAGTGCTTCATTTCAGACGATTTGCCAGGATGCACAAGTAGGTGCTAGGGCCTAGGGCCTAGGGGATGTAGGGGATGTTTAGGGCTGATAATCTACGCCAAAGCCCACTTGACCTCCAAGAGCAGCTCTCAGGAAGGGTCGGAAGAGTGCTGAAAGCGAGCCTCTTCAAATGAGCACATAGTGCTGATAGTGATTCACCTGCGCCCCAATCCGGGAGAAACAAAGGCCGCAGCAGAACTTCCGCTGCAGACAAGGCACGTGGACTATCGACCGCAACCACCACCAATACCACCTGAGCTACCTCAGGAACAAAGATGAACAAAGGGCAAGATGGACCAAGGATTGAACGACTTCTCTCCGCAAATCATCAAGCAGAATCGAGATGAATCGAGCATCACCTTGAAAGCAGCAACTTGACCGAGGCCGTGGCCTTGACCTCGACCGTAAACCTGGTCCAAACATGTCCAAACAGTGCTGGATGGTGCTGGCAACGCTGGCAAGATGTCACATGATGTCACACATTGGTGGATGGGAGCCTCGCAGTGGTGGCGGACGTCCGAGATGATTGGGAGGTGGAAGATCATGACGAAAGGGGACCTCAACATTCCATAGAATTCCAATGGAGTCTGAGCTGAACCTCCCAATTCTTTCAACTGTGCCACACTGTGCATGTCTAACCAGGGATAGACAAACATGTCTCATGACTCATGACTGTCTCATGTCTAGCCTCTTGTGGCTCTAGCTGCTTCCTGTGCTCACAGAAACACTGGTCCCAGCTTTGGTCCGAGGAGAAGACTTCACAGTGTCGTTCATGGCTACCTAGAGCTGGCAGCTGTCCGATTTGAAGACTTGCCGTTCTGTGCCGGGCCAATGTCTTGATTCAAAGTGCAGAAAGCATACAAAGTACGAACAAATGCAGACAAGCGACAAAGGAGAAAGTGCAAAAGCGCACAGCGGCACAAGGGCAGTGTTGCAGGGAGCTTGAACCATCAGCACAAACGCGATCGCGCAACAGCATCCATGGAATTCTGCACAAAAAGGCTTTGCGACCGAATGGCAGGTAAGGGAAGCCAACCACATGCCCAATGCAGTGACAATATGATGCACATTGGAATCCAAGTCAGGAATCCAATTAGGTATACATAGACTGTAGATAGTGGAACAAGTTTAGCCTGAGAGGGGGGATCCACAGAAAGTAAACAGCCACATGTCCTGTCTGTTGCTACCTGACTGCTGTACTGAGTACGAGTACTGTTTACTCTTTTACAATCAGTGGCATTGCTTTCACATCTCTCATTGGCATTTCCAGCCTGGCTGTCACCTGGACAAAGCACGTTGCGATGCCCTGGACATCGATTGCCTAGGACAAAATATGTCAAAACATGTCAAAACTCTATTGAAGCCAGCAAAAATACCGTAGCGTCGAACATTTTCAAACCATCTCAACAGCCGAAGCCGTACGATCAACAAAAGGAACAAAACGAACCACAGGATGATTCTAGCCGAATGCAGACGGTGCACATGTCCATGTTCAGCCGGGCATCCAAACATTCCAAACATCAGAGAATAAGAGAAACATCAACGGTCTTTCAGTGACCGTCTCATTCGGCCGAGCATGGCTCTTTGGGTTCGTGGGACCTTGCAAATCAAGCACATCATAGCAATTCAAAGCATGTCAATTTAAAGATATCCAAAGATTGTGTTGGGCGGAGGATGCGCATCAAGAGCACGCAGTTCCGAATGGCGAACGGGCCTCTGCCGCACTTTGTGCACTTTCTGCACTGGCCTGACCGCTTGCTGCCGTTGTCTTACTTTCATCGCTGACCTCAACGTAACGAGCTGAAATTCAACTGAATCAATTCCACTCAAAAATGTCTTGCATCTTTTCAACATTTCGCACTGCAGTTTTCTCGAGCTGCCTCACAAAAATTCTATAGATTTCTGAAAGGGGAATGCTGATAAAAAACCAGACTGTACCTTGATGATTAAAATAGCCTGATTTCTTGAATGCAAGATTCATGTGAATTGGTTTGAAGTGTATTAAATTTACGTTTCATTTAACAGAATTTCATCTGTAGGGGTCTGGCAGTGGTCGCTTCGGGGTTGGCTCGAGGGGAGACACCAGGCTCAGGCGGCTCAGGCGGCTCAGGCGGCTCAGGCGGCTCAGGCGGCTCAGGCGGCTCAGGCCCACCAGGTCCATCTCTCTGGGCAGTCTGCCCTCTGATCCCTCTGTCTCTCTCTCTGTCTCTCTCAGGACCTATCGGAATCGACGACTTTCTCGGTGTCGCACCGACCAAAACATGGTCGTCATGGTTATCGCCTTCGTTCTCCCGCTCCAAAGAAGCGCTGGCTGTTGCAGAAAGATCAGAAAGTGCAGTGCTCTGTTCGGTGCGAAATTCTTTCTGAGCAGTAGCTCCATCCAAGTCATCTAAATTTTGAAGGGTTTCACTCGTTTCCTTCGACACCTGCACCGGTTGCGATCCTTGCTCTGGCGCCTTCAAACTCTTTCGCTCTCGAGGAAGGATGGACTCAAAAGACCAGGTTGCTTTGTTCACGGGTGGCACACGAGGTGATCTTTGAGTTGGGTTCACCACCTGGACAGGGCTTCAACATGCTTCAACTACATCAAATTCAAGACTCAAGACACCTGGCAGAATTTCAAAAAAACCATAGAGCTTGTAGACCCTCATAAGCAGTACAGCAGTAAAGTAGGTGACAGCTGGATTTTCGAAATTGCTCTGCGGTGGGCTTGGTATTAGTCTCCAATCACTCCAATCTCTTTCTAGTCTATATGTGTCATTCTGAGAGTCTCCCTGCCTTCTTCTCCAGTTGCTCTCGGCAACGACGTTCCGATGCAAGATCCTTCAACTGCGACATCCATTGCACAAATACCAGAACCAGAACGAACATTCAGAGATTCAACTTGACTCAACTACGCAGCTCTTGAAGCTACCCTGCACTACCGCACTCTGTTCATCACAGTCCCTTGCAAAAGCGGCCCAGTCCAGCTGCAGGCGGACTACTTCTGGGGCCATAGCTTCTCGCAGCCAGCGCCTGCGATGTCAGTTCGTCTCATTTCATACATTTTCATACCACATGTGTGTCAACTGCTCCGTCTGCACATGTTGCATGATCTGCTGCTTGTGCAGGATTGCGCACGTACACATTGTTGTCAAACAGGATCAAAGAGGAACGTAACAATGAAACACTGGACGGATAGCTACACCAGCTCCATCCCTGTCTTTATCCCCAAATCCATGTTTTCAGAAGCTCGTCTACCTCAAATATATGACAAGTCGAACCCTTCACCCCGATCATTGGCATGGTACCAGTAACAGAAAATCCATGTCTTACCTGGATTGATAGGAGGATTAATTTGAACCGTTCTCATGCAGTGCTGCAAAAAAAAATCCTGGCGTAACATCAACCAAACGCAAAACAAGGACACTTCACCAAGTTCCATTTGTTCACCCGACCTAGGATTAACAATATCATAATTCACAGTGCACAAACAGGCAGACATGACAGGAACACAGAGAGATAGATAGGCATGTAGGATTGTGCAGGTTAGGAGATAGATGCAGACTCAGATTTAGATGGATAGGTTTTTGATGGTAGATGTCTCGTGGTATAAAACATGCATCCAGTATAATTTGATATAATTTGTATATATATGTCCTTTGAGATCCTTTGAGTCTTATATGACCTCTCGGTCTTGATATTTCTTGTAAAAATTTTCTAATATCTTGCGTCTGTCGGGGCAATGCAACAGCACTGCGGCTGAGGTCTGAGCTCTAAAGCATCAACTCGCTGTCGTGTATCATCTGGACACACAAATGTGGCACCAACACGGACATGTCAGACATGAGTAGACATGTAATACATATTAAGAACATATTCAATACATATTCAATACATATTCAACAGATTCTCCCGCTCTTAGATCTTAGCCGAACATGGACTGCAGCATCCCTCGCCATTCAACACTTCAACACTCCTGCTTTGTGAGTTGTCAATCTGTCGTCACAAGGATTCAAATAGCATATTCGGGCAAATTTGCTGGTGCAAAGGCAAAGACAAACACACCAATCTTCTTTGGCGGTCGGTGATATTGACGGTACTCCTGTTCGATAACACGTCTGGGCACCTACTTCAGCTCTGATGAGCTGCGCAACATCTTGCCACCTGTCAGCGGAGAAACTGTGCTAACTCCCTGTGCGAGAAGCCTCCCTAGTCCTATAATTACTTTCACCATCATTCCGATTCAGTCACCGTACTGCGATTGTGTTCTGATCGTAATATCAGTTGCAAAAGGTTGTGCCTCATGAAGGAACAGTCTCCCAATTCCATCAGTATGCAACAATATTGGCAGCTCACAGCTCACAGCTCTTTTACCTGGCGGCGGCTTCATCAATGAGCTCGTTGCGAATCAGCTGAAGCTGCCTTGAGACCTTCCAAGATGGTCCAAGATGGAAAAGCAAATCTCACCACATAGCAGGGTTATGTGTCCAATTGATATCTCAACTTATTGCCCTATATCGCAACAGTGTCAAATCAAAATTGAATTGGGAACCATAAGATCCTGCTTGTGCTATGGCGGATCGAGCCCTCCTCCAAGAAGAGAGCTTTGCTTCAAGTGTTTTGAAGCCAAAAGTCACAATGTGCCAACCCCCACGAACGACTCAACTTTAGTTTGAAAACAGGAAGTGTTCGAAACTTCAGGGTTACAGCTTCGGGCTTGATATCATCATCTTGATGTTATCTTATAATTCTTATATATGTTGATGTCTCAAGTTGATTTTTTCTGAATATCGCTTTCGTAAAAAGTGCGAGGGCCTCCAGGGGTATTTCCAGCGGCTTTTGAAGTTCCAGCCTTGAACTTCACGGTGCATTGCATGGCACTCTTTGAAACATTTTGAAATATATTGAAACATACTGAAAAAATGTGGCATTCTGTTCCTGCAGACCGCTGACGACCGCCGTGCAGTCATTCTAAGCCGAAGTTCAGTATGTTCAGTAAGGGCGAAACCCAGCAATTCTTGACTCGAGCCACGCAAGCTGGCGATCTCCTGACGGAGCAAATGAGGGCTTCACACATCTTCACACAGCACAAACAAGGACAAATCAACTTTCAAACAATGGACTCTTGCTTTGGCAACAAAAGTGTTAAGGCCGTAAAGAAAACAAAGAAAACATAAGGATCATAAGGCTTCAAGATGCTTCAAAATTCTTCAAGAACCAATCAGATCCTTGCAATCCTTGCGGCTTCTCACGGTCCTGCAATGCATCTCGGAATTTCTCGGGCCAACAAATTCCAAGGCATACAGCACATTGCAGCACGAATCCAAATGCCCGGCATGTCACGGGCATGTCACGGGCATGTTACGGGCATGTCATAAGTGCATTGGTCCATCAAATTCGATTGTCATGCGCAAAGAAAACCAATGAAACATCTTTTGATATAATTGCTGTATATTGTTGTATTGTTTTGTCATCTTTTCGCTGGTTTCTGTTGGTTTCTGTTGATTGGTCCTTCCCGAGTCAGGCCTCAACTTGCGAGAGCCGGTGCTGGAGGGAACCCACTGATCGCTCCAGTGAAAGCAGCCGCACCCTCCGCATTTCCAGCGGTTGCAACAAAGATCAACACGACATTTGACGTTTCACCCGGAGAACTCCAGACATTCTACCCATTCTTGCAATTTGTTTGGTCGCGTCAAAAGGACTTTAAGCCATTCGATTCCTAAAAATAATTTGACTGATTTGACTTGAGATACTGCCAAGCCTCCCAATTAGGCATTAATGGGGGAAAACTCAAGGCACACAAATTTGCGACGGACAGTGCTACGGTCACTACAGGGTGCATGGGCTCAGCATTTCCCAAATCTCCACATTCCATCAAGGGCTTGTCCTGCGCCTAGACTAGCTTCAATTCTACAGCAATCACTCTACCCCACCATATTCTCTTATAGGGTTCTGTCTACAGCTCAAGAACAACTGGCAAAATGTCCAGAAAAGAACTACAGTGAAGGCCTTTAGTCACATCAACTTTTTTGGGGCAGCATGATTCTTTTGCGGGGAAGTCGATGCAACCACTTCAAATCGCTTTCGTTCGCAGTATATTTTGGGGTATGCTTTGCGCATGTGGTATGCACAAGCTGTGTTTCAAGGCATTGCCAATAGAGAACATCTCAGGGGTGGGGGATGGGGGGAGGAGGCCACCTATGCCATGGATGCCAGCAGACTTAAACTGTAAACCGACCCATTTCTATCATTTCTACCTGTCTAAAAGAAGCGCAACGATTTTTTGACAATTCATGACAACAGGTTCCGCAAGGAATAAGCAGGAAAAACACAACAAATCAATGATGTTTATAATGATTTCTATACCCAATTTTGCATGGTACACCGAAAATCTATGCGACCTTCCTGGGAAGCTCCACTCCACCTAATTGACTGAAAACAACAAAATTGATACGACTTAATGCCCTGACTGTAAATGCAGAGCTAGGGAGAAATGGAGGAAACCAGTGCTTTGTGATTAGCATATTAATATATAAAACAGGGTATGTCAATCACATTCAAGAACAAGTTGGTTCACCAATTCTCAGTGACTCTCTGACTGCCCTCTGACTAGTCTTATCTGGCCTGATTTCATCAGCATGCTGTCGCTGCGCTGTCGCAAGCTGCTCTTCCACCACTCCTCGAGTGCTGAAAGAAGCCAACAACAAAAATTGTCAAAACGCAAATCTCCAAACAGATCTGAACCTCTAAACAAAATAAAAGAATGTCACCACAGCCACCACAGTCACCTCGAAAAGTCGAAAAGCCCCTGCATTTTACCACAACCATGTCTCAACATGTCTGAACTTCATGGTGGTATGTTGCTGGGCAGGCCCCAGGTCCTGTCGCTGAGCGTGCTGCTTTGCGAAGCCCAGCTTCGACCTACGCAAACTCGCCCCTGGAAGCAAAACATGAAGGAGTCGACGTAAGGTGCTTCAAGGTGCTTCAAGCGCACTGCCCATCCAGGACCCCATCTTGATGGTTTGAGGATTGCAAGCTAAACTATGCCAACATGTTTAAAGCGAAGTCGCTGGCACTGCAATCGGAAACACCGGTAAACCAGGTTTAACATATGGCTTAACCATGTTTAACCTATATATTTTTAAACAGAATCAAATTGATGGACTGGCTATTAGCCTGGAGATGGCATTGGATTCCTAGATGAACACGTGTGAAAGATCCTGTGGTCACCTTGCGTGTTTAAAGGATCATAGCCAGTTTTGAAGAATGGACATGCGTTGTGCTGCTCGGAAGAGTATATCGCAAGACTTACGCAGTCTTGCTGGATTAAGACAAAGAGTCTGAATCAAGACAAGTACTCGAATTATCTTTCTCCATGTATGCCTGATTGTGATGTCGTGATTGTCTTGAACGGTGAAGTGCTTCAATTGTGCCACTTCACCCTTGCGTTTTTGAACAGCAAAGTTTTTCAAAGCCAGGCATGTCGTGAAACAAACTTTGTAATTAGTTCACAACCTGACTATTCTCAGGCCCGCACTTGGTTCGCGATCCTGCAACAGCAAAGCATAGAAGCCATCAAGGGTGTGAAAAGGATGTGTTTGCAATCTGTCAGCCTTAACGCAAACTACGCTGCACGAAGGCTAGTGTTGCGACTTGGCTATTTGCATCAGGAAGGACTTAACATACATTTCTGTTGCAATGCCGAACGTTCCGACAAAAAATGCCGAACGTTCCGACAAAAAATGCCGAACGTTCCGACAAAAAATCAGAACACCATCTTGGCCTGGATTCTAGGTCAATCCGCCTCATCAACACTAGAGCACCGAATCGAGGTTTTTCCTTCTCAATGCAATCTAGAAGGCCATATATAAGTCTACAAGGATACTATGTGAGCAATCTGCAGCTTTCCAAAGCTTGGCTGTAAACCGCTGAATCTCGAGTGAAAGGGCCTGTCGAAGAAGGAACCATAAGGAACCCTCATATCTAGCTGCAGGAATGCCACTTGCAAAACGGAAGCAGAACAAGATTCACCAAACATGATTCACATGCCATGGTGTTTCCAGTTGCAAGTTGAAAATTCAAGCATCAACTAAGTTGACAGCATGATTCCTAGTGCCCAAGAAGGCTACATCCCAAAAACGCGAAACTGGAGAAAAAGACAGAAAAAATTGCCGCTGCCTGTTCCAACGAAGCCAAATTGCGCTCGACAGCTGTCATGGTCAGCTGCTGTCTGAAAAGTTGGGAGCTTTTAGTTCAATCGAATCCCTATCTTTGAAGCTTCGAGGCTCACAACTTCGAACGTGTTCGGAATCGGTGAATGGCAACTGAAACGGATGAGTCTTGGTGAGTCTTGGTGAGTCTTGATGACTTGATGAGTCTTGATGAGTCTTGTGAAAATGTAAAATTATGTAAAATTCCCTCGCTATCTTTGCTACTGTGCATTGAGCTGCCTTCTACAAAATGGAGAACGTGCAGAAGCGGTAAAACTTTGACAATCAGATGTCCAAAAAAATGCCATGTACTGCTCCAATCTCTACGTGGCAGGTGTTGCCTCAAAGTGCTTTGAACAATTCAGAAGCACCTTTTTGATGGCCGCGCGTGCGGGTTGGACGGTTTCTTAAAGTCTTTCGGACATGATCTGCATGTCTCGCAACAGATCAAAGATATTCAAATATGATCAAATAAGAATACAGATAATACAGTCTTAAAATGACTCTGTCAAGTATTCTCGGAGTTTGCTTGGACATGTGGATATTTGGCCTGTTGCATTGAGCGCACTTTGTGAGCATCATATCAGCGCCATGCTTAAATGTTGTCGGTCCTGAAAGGATCCTTTGCAAGGTATTGATACTTTGTATTGGGTCACATGGACAGGCTGTTGAACAAGCCTGCAGACTGCGAATGTTCGCTGTCCAGTAAAGCCACAGCTGCTTTTCAAGCCAGCTAAATTGGAAAATGGCAAGGCACGTGGATGCAAGGAGTGCAGTCTTTAACTCCAATCATGAACCGTAAAAAACACTGGCAGCAATTGTCAGTACAGAAAGGGCTCCAACGGCCCAAAGCAGCTGATGATGAGTGGCTTCTTGATGCTGAAACAACGGCCCTTGTCAAACCAAATGTGCCACGCTGATGCATTGCCACAGCTTACACTGCAGCCAAATTCGCAAGACAGATCAAGACACTAAATATGGGTGCGGGTATACTCTCAGCTTACATGTTGGCGAGTGTCAGTGGAATCAAGCAAATTCTAGGCAAAATGCGGGGTAGCTCCGAAGATTGGAAGCTAAGTATTGTGTAATTATAATTTATTGTCGCGTTCTGTGCTTCCTTCCACGCCTCTTCAATGGAAATGAAATTATTGTTTCAAAGTACTGAGTCCTATATCTGGGATTTGATGGTATTGTTTCCCTGGATTCAGGGCTCTGGAGTGCAAGGCGAAACATCTTCCTGCGCAAGCAAGGTAAAGCTGGCTACACATATGTCAGGAGGATCAGACTTCACCTACAGAATCCTCAAAGTCTGACTTGGGTCCGTTCACAATCCAAGTCAAGTTGCAAAACTTCACATGCGTGAGGCATATGAAGCACCCAATTTACGAGCTATGGCAGGCTAACGGGTTTGCAAACACAGTTTCAATCTCAACTGGGCAGCAAGTTGCATTGAGCACCTGCACTTCCACAGGATCCCAGAAAGTTGTGTACCTTTGCACAGAAATGCACAAGAACATCTTCGAGGGAGGAGTGGGAATGTTTAGATACATGCAAAATCACAAGGCTACTGTGAACTCGGTGCAACAGCATAATATGATTAATGTTTCTTCCAATAGACTGAATGACTCAAGGCACTGAAAGCTGTCTGGGCTGAGGTATACAACAGCTGCGGACACGTTTGAGTACCTGGAAACTTCACTTCTCGAAAATGCATCGACACAGTAAAATGACATCAAATGGCAAGTGTCATTTTCGAAACAAAATGATCATCGCATCAGAAGGCAGAAGAAAGATCTAAGGAGACTGACAGTCATGGCAAGGACGCACGTTGAGAGCAGTCCATGACAGCCTTTTGCCATCAGGAAAGTTTCTATCACCACATCCTGACAAGAGTATTGCAAAAAAATCAGAACTTGAGGCCAAAGGAAAGGGGACGAAAGTTAGTTGGGCAAGGAGTGATGTGCATTGAGAGAACATGTGGCACGACCTTTTGAGTGTCATCTTTTGAATTGAAATAAACTACCATTCGGTGTTGCTGACACGCTAGCAGCAGCGTATGATGCTATTCTAGCTCGCATACACCATAATCATTCCACAACCATCCCCCTGACATCCTAGCATACCAGCGTTAACATTACGCTCCTAATACTTTACTTGCCAAATACAAAGTGCCCCAACCGAACGCGCTTCGGTTGAGCCACTTTGCGCTCATCTGATTGAACGTCTTTCCTTCGGCCTTTCCATCCTTGTTCCTGTCCGCGACATATTACATAATGACATATTTCATATTACATATAAATATGTCTATGATTGCTCACGATTTGATAAACGAATCAAAACTGATACGTCCCCAAAGCGTTCTTTTGGGGACGTATCAGAGCATTTTTTTCTATTCACCATTGGCATGTGAATTAACAGGGTTTACCGACTTAAAACAAATTGATATGTCTCGAAAGGAACAAAACGTGATATATCTGCAAAAAAAATCGTTTTGGAACGTATATTTTAACAAAAACAGGTTTGATGAACATCCTCATATGTTGGTTCAAAATGTTAAAAACCTTCACTTAATCACGATCCATGAGCGAAGCAAAATTGATACGTCCTCAAACCCTTCGTTTGGGGACGTATCAAAACATTTTTTTTCTATTGACCGCTTTTCGATGAATGATGTGCGATCTGATGTTGAAAGACTCTGAGAGGATGGATTGATCAAATCGGACATGTAGTGGCATTGTTCAACATGTGACGCGTGTTTAATACAAAACCAATCTATTACGATTAGAAATGAGCAAAGCGAAATCGATACGTCCCCAAACCGTTCGATTAGGTACGTATCAGAGCAAGTTTTTCTATAGATATTCATCTCCATATCACCATCAGGGGATGTTTCATTTCTCCATGGGAAACTTCCGTGAATCACTGTAGGAGACGCCCGTCCAGCGCTTTAGGCCGGGAGATCTTTAGCGGTTTCAATCTCTATAGTATATGTATCCACTATACAAATATATAACCCAGTCTTAGAATCTGGTAACTTAGGTGCGTGCATCCATCGAGCAAGAAATGTTTGGGAATCTTAAGATGCGCATCTTCCATTCCTCGCCAAGGCCGGGCCATGTTTTCATGCAGACATCTTGAGGAAATGGAGTGCAAGACTGAGTGGTCCTTTTCCCGTTGCATTTCATTACATTCCATTACCTCCGTTACATTAGATTACGTTACATTACATTACATCAAAATTGTTTTGCATTACATTGCGTTTCATTCACAACACTCACGGTGAACATCATTTTGTATATTATATATATATAGGTGTGTGCGTGGGGCGTGATCACGGCGGGATGGGCGCAGTGGGGTTTGAGCCCGAGGGGAGGGGGGGGTGTCAGTTCGACATGACTAATCAAGCCGAACAGGGGGGGGCAAAACAAGTTCGACGTGAAAAATCATGACAGCTGCTTCCAGTCTGCCCCCAATTCATTGCTAAAGCAAATCCAGCTCCAGCTAGCAAGCTAGCTTTCGTGAGATGTTGTCTGGATCTGTCTGGATCAACCCTGATGATGATGATGATGATGATGATGATGACGGCGGCGGCGACGACGACGACGATGAGGACGACGAGGACGACGATGATGACGATTAGAACGATTAGAATAGAATGATTGGACTAGAATGATTAGAAGCACTAGAATGATTAGAAGCATTAGAATGATTAGAAGCATTAGAATGATTAGAAGCATTAGAATGATTAGAATGATTAGAATGATAAACCATCTCTTGAATCGGGGTGCCAATTCAGTATGTGATAATGTGCAGCAGTTTTAGAGCTGTCTAGCTTTTGTGCATAGGGCCTCAGGCTTTAAAATGCACAAAAACAATGAGAACTGGTTCTGCTATAAAATGCGTTTCCAGCAAATTCACGCCGAATTGGCATCCAAGTTCATCCAAATTCGAAGACCCTCAGAAACGCCTCTTTAAAAAGGGGTCAGGACATTCTTTTTAGATAGAGGTATTCACGTCGCTTCGCGACGGCAACCGCCCGCACCGCATCGTTGGGCTCACACAGCAGAGATATATCTATATATATAAAGATCATATATGTACATATCGAGTGAACGGTCCACACTGTTAATGATGTCAGCCATTGTTCTCTTCTACTGCCATTGTTCTCTTCTATTGCCGTCGCTCCGCGACAAGAACCCCTGTGCGGCCGCCACGGTTTGAACGATGTTGTTCTCACACCTTCGCGACCGCTCGTAACTGCCAATGATGTCGGCCATTGAGACCAAAAACATCCGAAAGTACTGATTGTCGGAAAAAAAAACGCGAAGAATTTGATAGCCATGTATAGCGGACCAACGCAGTTCAAAAAATAGCGAAAAACATGAAAAAACGGCGAAATTGCTGTTATTTACAGTGTTTTTGCGCGGTGAGAAGCAGAAACCACTGCAAATACCATGGTTTTTGAGGGTCAGGTGGCCAAAAACACTGTAATTTACAGTGTTTTTTTAACCAACGTCAAAAAACACTGGTATTTACGATGTTTTCATTCACACCGTAACATAAAACAGCGTAATTTACGAGGTTTTTGGAAGTTTTGAAGCTAGCCGTCAAGCATGCAGAAAACAGAAAAACACTGTAAAAACCAGTGTTTCTGCTATCACAAAACGACGAAAATCAGTCCGAAAACGGGTCCAAAAACTCAAAAATCCGCCTCCGGGCCAGGCCACCTGCGGAACCGCAAAAAAAGATGTTGCAAACCAAAAAATTGAGGTCAAAAAGTTGAAAAACACGGGGTTTTTACACTTTTCGCTTGCCGATTTTGGACGGGCGCGTTCACGAACAGGTGTCTTCCGTACTGTTTTTTACAGTGTTTTTTGAAGGCGAGCGTCACGACCTATCAAAAACAGGAGGTTTTGGCCGAATAATGGCCCCCCCCCCCCAGGTAAACCTGTAACCTTTTACGAGTGCCATCCGGACGATCACGCCCCAGCACCTTCGGTGCGGGCGGATTTTAGAGTGAAGGTGCCCAAACATTTAGTGTGTTTCTTCTTTTATAGCATTCTATAGCAACAAAATACGGTGGGGTCAAGAGCCAAAAATGGTCTGAGTCTGAGGGTCCGAGCCATAAATCAATGTGCCAACCCAGCATGACCGGCAAAAGAAGGCTATAGGGTTTTCTGTATGACCCAAAGCATCCCAACATAAATCACTACAAAATTTTTAATGCCGTTCCGATTTTCAAGAGCTAAGTTAGAAAAGTAAAAAGCCGCTACAAGAATCAGCGCATGATGGCTGACTACAAAATCCTAGGCACGACTTTTTTTTGGAAGTCAATTTACATCCCCAAAGTGGGATGGTACCCAGCACGTGTTCACCCTTTTAGTAGTGGAAATAGTAAGGGGGATCCTTTTGTAGCATGGCCGCTTTCCAAGTCAGCAGTTCGTGCCAAGAGAGGTCTCTCGCTGATCTAAAATGACATGCCCAATAAAATCGATATAAAGAGATCCTGGAAAAGCACTGGTTCCATTCGGCAATAAAATGCTCCAAACACTCAGTTTTTTGCAATAAAACTAGAATGGGATTTTAATATGTTAAAAATCATCAGGATCTCCCCGGCCAATAAAATGCTCAGACCAACCCCTTAACAATAAAATGACTAACCTGACTCCAATTTTGAAATTCCAATACATTACGGATCTCGCTTAGACTATGCACAAGTCATCCATTTCTAGTGTGGAAATTGCCAGGGGGAATCCTGATACTAGTGACTTCGGTCCTCTGCTTTCTTGTAAGAATCCAAGCTCTTGTCAAAGTGAACTGCCTCAACTAGGCTGACAGCAACGGCAAACATATTGTCCTGTCCGCAATCAGAGTCCTACTTGGCCCTTCAAAGACTTGCCAGGGATGCATTCTAGATGGGCAGAAACATGCAAAAAGTCTTTTCTCAGGGCAGCTGAGATGGGTTGGTTTCAAAACCAGCCAAGATATGATGTTCAAACATATTCAGTATGGTTTTGCTTCCGTGAGAAAGCTTTCAAACCAACAAGGCTCTGCAACTGTCCCCATGAAGGCGCTCAAGAAATGCACGAATTGAGTGTATGCTGTATGCCTGTAGCTGCCATGACTGCACAAGCGCAATCCTTTAGCGGCAGTTGCTGTTTAAAGAGCGCTTTTGCGTGGCTTTGGCCTGGCTTTCTCCACCTGAATTTCATAACCACGGGGCATACCCGCGTAATCTTCTAATTTCCTTTGGTGTTTGTTGTTGGTTACACGGGGACTCGGGGCCCCTGATAATTTGCACATTTTGATACTTTGTACATGCATCTACTACAATCATGTAGTGTTACATGAAGATGTGGTTCATGTGGTTCTTGTGACATGGAGATGTTCGACCAGGTCCTCTATGGTTCTTCTTCATGAAGTGACATAGGTGTTGATACGCTCAATTGGTTGGGGGGTTTCGGGGGGGTGGGGAGGTGGAGGGGCTGTGATAACGTTCTTGATAGTATAATCTTGATGGTTCATCTTCATTGAAGTGACATAGGTGTTGATATGCTGGGTGTTGGTTGGGGGGGTTCGGGAAGGTGGTGGGGGAGGTGTGACAACGTTCTTGATGGTATGGTTCATCTCCATTGAAGTGACATGCGTGTTGATACGCTGTGCACTTTTCGTGGTACATGAGTTGATATGTTTGCTTATGGTTCATGTACATGAAGTGACATACGTGTTGATACGCTGTGCACTTTTCGTGGTACATGAGTTGATATGTTTGCTTATGGTTCATGTACATGAAGTGACATACGTGTTGATACGCTGTGCACTTTTCGTGGTACATGAGTTGATATGTTTGCTTATGGTTCATGTGCAAGAAGTGACATGCGTGTTGATACGCTGTGCACTTTTCGTGGTACATGAGTTGATATGTTTCCTTTTGGTTCATGTACATGAAGTGACATGCGTGTTGATACGCTGTGCACTTTTTCGTGGTACATGAGTTGATATGTTTGCTTATGGTTCATGTACATGAAGTGACATGCGTGTTGATACGCTGTGCACTTTTCGTGGTACATGAGTTGATATGTTTGCTTATGGTTCATGTACATGAAGTGACATACGTGTTGATACGCTGTGCACTTTTCGTGGTACATGAGTTGATATGTTTGCTTATGGTTCATGTGCATGAAGTGACATGCGTGTTGATACGCTGTGCACTTTTCGTGGTACATGAGTTGATATGTTTCCTTTTGGTTCATGTACATGAAGTGACATGCGTGTTGATACGCTGTGCACTTTTTCGTGGTACATGAGTTGATATGTTTGCTTATGGTTCATGTACATGAAGTGACATGCGTGTTGATACGCTGTGCACTTTTCGTGGTACATGAGTTGATATGTTTGCTTATGGTTCATGTACATGGAGTGACATACGTGTTGATACGCTGTGCACTTTTCGTGGTACATGAGTTGATATGTTTGTTTATGGTTCATGTACATGAAGTGACATACGTGCTGATACGCTGTGCACTTTTTCGTGGTACATGAGTTGATATGTTTGCTTATGGTTCATGTACATGAAGTGACATACGTGTTGATACGCTGTGCACTTTTCGTGGTACATGAGTTGATATGTTTGCTTATGGTTCATGTACATGAAGTGACATGCGTGTTGATACGCTGTGCACTTTTTCGTGGTACATGAGTTGATATGTTTGCTTATGGTTCATGTGCATGAAGTGACATGCGTGTTGATATGCGTGGTACATGAGTTGATATGTTTGTTTATGGTTCATGTACATGAAGTGACATGCGTGTTGATACGCTGTGCACTTTTCGTGGTACATGAGTTGATATGTTTCCTTTTGGTTCATGTACATGAAGTGACATGCGTGTTGATACGCTGTGCACTTTTCGTGGTACATGAGTTGATATGTTTGCTTATGGTTCATGTACATGAAGTGACATACGTGTTGATACGCTGTGCACTTTTCGTGGTACATGAGTTGATATGTTTGCTTATGGTTCATGTACATGAAGTGACATACGTGTTGATACGCTGTGCACTTTTCGTGGTACATGAGTTGATATGTTTGCTTATGGTTCATGTACATGAAGTGACATACGTGTTGATACGCTGTGCACTTTTCGTGGTACATGAGTTGATATGTTTGCTTATGGTTCATGTACATGAAGTGACATACGTGTTGATACGCTGTGCACTTTTCGTGGTACATGAGTTGATATGTTTGCTTATGGTTCATGTACATGAAGTGATACGCTGTGCACTTTTCGTGGTACATGAGTTGATATGTTTGCTTATGGTTCATGTACATGAAGTGACATACTGTACGTGTTGATAAGTTGTGCACTTTTCGTGGTACATGAGTTGATATGTTTGCTTATGGTTCATGTACATGAAGTGACATACGTGTTGATACGCTGTGCACTTTTCGTGGTACATGAGTTGATATGTTTGCTTATGGTTCATGTACATGAAGTGACATACGTGTTGATAACTTTTCGTGGTACATGAGTTGATATGTTTGCTTATGGTTCATGTACATGAAGTGACATACGTGTTGATACGCTGTGCACTTTTCGTGGTACATGAGTTGATATGTTTGCTTATGGTTCATGTACATGAAGTGACATACGTGTTGATACGCTGTGCACTTTTCGTGGTACATGAGTTGATATGTTTGCTTATGGTTCGCAAAATGCGAGGAAAGAAGAAGCGAGGACAGAGTAGAGTTGCTGGAATGCAGCAAATTGATAAGCTGTGGACATGGTGCAAAGGCTTCATTTGTGGCCGTGTGAAGACACGCATCGATCTGCCCAACCCACAGTTGTTCAGCCAAGCATATCAGTATGTATGGAGAAAGAACAATGTCGACAAGGACTTGCTTCAACTGTTGGCCACGGAACTGAAAAATTGACGCTAAAAGCAATTCTTCTCAAAAAATAAAGTTTTGAAAATGATGGGGTGTGTTTTGGACCCCGTCCTCATGGCATTTCGCGGCCATTTTCAAAGTAGCGATGTTCACAAAACACAGCGAGGGTTGAAAAATCCATAAATTTGAAACACTTGAAACTTGAAACTAATCCTATATAAGCCTTACGTCAGCCCTAACTAGATCTTAAACCAGACCTAAACAGACGTAAACCAACGCTGAACACACCTTAAACCAATCCTGAATAGGTCCTAAGCAGCAGCGTAGAATTCACGGAGTGTTTGAGGTTCACTTAGAGTTGCTTTAGTGTTGCTTTGGGGTTTATTTATGGTTGATTTAAGGTTTTTTTATATTATATGTTTTTTCAGGACTATCTGCAGTATGAGAAACAACAAAAAGAGGGAGAAGCAGAGAAGCAGAAAGGCAGGTAAGCAGAGAAGCAGAAAAGCAGGTAAGCAAAGAAGCAGGGAAAAGCAGGTAAGCAAAGAAGCAGGGAAAAGCAGAAAGCAGAGAAGCTGGAGAAGCAGAAAAGCAGGGAAAAGCAGAAAAGCGGAGAAGCAGAGAAGCAAAGAAGCAGGGAAACAGAAATCCCAGAAAAAATGTTCAAAACGGAAAAAACAAATTCCAAAAAATTAGCCCTCCGTAAACTATCGGCGAAGGCCCACCGAGAAGGTACCTCCAGAGCGCGCAGGCGTTTGGTTTCATTCTACCCGGCAACATGATGCTCTTGCAACACGACAATCATGGGAAGAACATGAAACAAGATCAAACATTGCCGCAAGACATCGCAAGACCACCGACGGTGTTGTGAAACGTGCCAAAAAATGAGTCATTGCATGTCACCGCTTCCCCCACTGCATGAAATCTGCCGTGTCTTGTCATCCTGCTGTGGTTGCCAAGCCAGGCCTGGGAAGCTTCTGCTGGCAAAGTCGCATCGTAGGTAGAGACTAACAGGCCTCAAGAACGAGAAGGTGCTACACCCCAAGACAACTCAACATCTCTAGACTCTGAACGGCTAGGCCGCTAAACTCTGCTAGACTCTGCTGGAGCACACTGAGACATGACCAACATGAACAAGCAACAGCAACATACACAAACATGGCTTCATGTCCAACGAAGCCATTGTCGGAACAACCGGTGTTAAGATACGGGACGGAAGGAAGCTGTTTGTTCATTCCCTTTCTTAATGCGCGACTGTGAAATGCAATGTTGAGTTTCTCACCATATCGTTCCAAAGAGTTTGTCAGGCGGGTCTTCAAAGAAGCGTCGTCACTGCAAAGGAACACACCATCCATCTTCCACGCAACGCACCTCATGGCCAGAGAGGCCCAGGGAGTTCATGGGCCTCTGAGGATGCTCCAAAAATCTCAAAAAAGAATACGCGGGTTCCGCAGGCTCTGAAAAGGGTTTGAAGTTTTTCCCCCCCTCCGTTCCTATCTTGCTCGGCCCATCTTGACTCCACCCACACCTGCTACTATAAGAGATTCGTAGGGATTTTGTAACTGCCGTTTGCTCCAGTAGGCCAGCTGACTGAGAAATAATGCGCTTGAGGAGGCTATCGTCGGACAACTCGAAATTTGCCGCTGCTTCAACGACTTTGTCACTCCTACGAATGTGAACCTGCAAGGCACGCACGTAGAAGCGACAAAATCAATGGGACCAACCAAGAGTTGGAATGCAACTCGTGCATTTCCATGCGTCTTGTTGCCAACTTTGTTGTTTTCCGTTGTTTTTCCCAACTTAGTGTCTGGATGTGTCTGGTTGATTGTCATCGACTCTCATTGCCCGTGCTCTGAGCCGTGGACAGCGAGCCGCTTGCCTGGTTTAAGGATTGAAGACATTGTCTGTTCGAGTTTCTCCTGAAACCTGCGATGTGTGTCCGCACAGCGGCCCGAAACTTCCAGTAAATCTTATGATTTCTGTGTCTTTGGGTTCCTGTGTTCCTTAGGATTGATAGGATTGTACATCTGAGGTCATCGGAGTTGTCAGACGCACGGGGGGTTCACTCAGGATCTGTGACCCATCAGTATGCTTTTAATGAAACGATCAGATAACCCCACATGTCAAATCTTCCTTTATCATGTACAGCAAAAATAGGATTAGGGGATAGGTAGATGAACGATGAAAGAAGTAATCTGTGTGGTTGGGCGACATGATCAACATGTTGAGGCATGGGACAGAGCAGAAAATTGAATTGGAAAGGTGACATGGTTAAGTGCAAAAGCTAGAGAAAGAGTGGTCAACGGTATTGGACTCAAAAACTACGTAGGTTAGTTACCAAGGTACAACTGGCAGGTCAGCCACGCACCTTTTCACTTGGGGATGGACGGTTGTCCACAATATGGGCTGCAGTCACGCATGACATGTTGACATGCTATGCCGTCTCTACATATCTTATATGCTACTTTAGGGAAAACACCTAGTGCATATTGCCATTAAGACATGTTAAGACATGTTAAGACACATCCGCGAGACGCAGCTTTAAAATGCAGTGACAAGTTGATAAGACCCCTCTAGACATCTCTAGACTGGAGAAGCACTAAACTCTGCGCCTGCTACACCCAAAATGGCTGCACAGGCTCGCAAAGTAAACACGAGCAAAACTTCTTGATAGAAGCACAAGTGCTGTCAATCTTGAGATACCTTTGAGAGAGATGGGCTTGATAGCGATAAGATGCGATAAGTTTAAGAGCTACAAGAGGCGTGGATGGAGCAACGGAAGGAGGAGAAGCAAGAGAAAACGAACGGCGTATCCCACCAGAAAAAAAGAACCATCAAGAACCCCAGTGACTGCACAGAGTACAACCGGATACAACCGGTACAAAATTTGAAAAACTGCCAAGAATATGCCCGTCCTTGGCTGCAAAGCAATGCTCCGTCGGCACAAGGCCCGGCCACGCGCAGCCTGGTCTGCAGGAATGCCTCCGTAATCCTGCAGGGAACTTCTGTTCTGTATCTCTACTGGATGTCTTTTGATTGGGATCAAATCCAGCAGGTGTGTTTGCTTCCAATTTATGAACTTCAAGTCACATCATTCATCTGTTGAGGAACATTGGTTTTGAACGACCTTGAGCGATTTTGAGACAGCCTTTGTCTTGCAGGGCGTGAAATAGCTTGATGAACTTGGTAGCTGGAAACAGGGCTAGAATAGCGGCTAGAAGCGCAACAACTCTCGGGGCAGAGTGCCACCCCATTCTTCTGACGTGCTATTGCAGGCTACAAAGCAGCCTACCTGAACTCGGATCATACAGGCCCTGCTGAACGAAACCCGGGGAAGTAAGACATGTAAGACCAAAGAACAATCATTCCGAATCATTCCTGCAAAATGAAAGAACACCACGAACAAGCTGCCCGCTTGTGCGGCTGAACGCTGGCCCGTAGCCTGGTTGCCCCTTTCTTGGGTGGGCCGATGCGACATGTTCACAAAGTCTTGCCTGGATGACGCCACGGTAGTGTCCGTAGACCACATGATGCTTGCTTGTTTCCATGTACCTGCAAATGCAAATAGGATTCATTGCAGTGAGACCACACGAAAGCACAGCATCAGCATTGTGTGTAGCGTGCAAATGATTGGAAGAAAGACTTGTCTGATTCACATGCAGACTTGCCAAACCAAGTTGCTGTCCAGAGCGAATGGCATGACGAATGGCCTGCAATGTGCGAACTTCTCCAAACTTAAAAATGCAAGGCGCTGGGGTTTCCAATGCTACAGTAAGAAGTCTATATAATATATAATAGTGTTTAATCATTTTAATCAAGGCATACCCTCTCCCACCATCTCACAGCTTGATGCCTCGGATGCTATTTTGATTTCGGCTGGCTGCACGAAAAAAGCGGTCCAAACGTTGGGCTCTCCGGGTGGCCCCCGATAGAGCAACTCGCTGGAGGTCCTCAGGTTCAGGCGGTGTGAAAAGGATTTATAGACGGCATACATGTTGCACTCTTGGCTGATCCAGTGGCTGAAGCAGGCCCATGAAACTTGCTTTTAATTTACTATACTCAAAGAAAGCACAGAGAACTGACCTTTGACTTTGGTTTGACAAGAACTCGTATCTATGGTAATCTATACTATACGGTCATAACGAAGATAGTCAGATAAACGGGATCCAGCAAATGCCAACACAGAAAAGGAATTTGTTGTATTCTCTTGTGAAACTTGGTGAACTGCTGTGAAAACATGAAAACTGTAGCAGACTGAGAATCCAATCCACGATGAGCCCCAGTCCCTGTTTTTCGCAGGTCTCTGCGTGACCTAACGCCAGTGAGAACATCGAAAATAGTCCGTGTGGATGTCGGCAATGCCAAATCAATACCTTACAAGATGCAGCTGCGCCAAGCAGGTGTGCCAAGTAGGTGTGCCAAGTAATTGTTGTATGATGTTGTATGGTTTCCTCACACGATGTGGCCATCTACCAGGAAGGCAGTATGTAAAACTTGTTTTTGCCTGTATAAATAATCGAACAATAGTGACCACTTGAATGACTGATCCACCACAAGAATAAAGATTGCTAAATTATGCTAAATTGCTAAATGAAAATGCTTCACAACACTGAGGCCCAGTCTTTCTCCGTATTCTTCACAGGTGGTACGAGGTTCCCGGCCTTCTCAAACTCCAAGCATCAACATACTTTGACACTCAGCTGTCGTTCAGCTGTCAACATCCTGCACTGTTTGAATACTCGTCTGGCGCTGGCCTCCAGTCTCACATCACTTTGACCTTGGACATTCTGAACCCAGGCAGCCATCAGGAAACTTCTTTCATTCTTTCAGTGACAAAGGGAACCACCACACATTTTGTTGTGCCATTGCATCAAAGCTGCGAATGGAAGGATTTGGAATCAAGTTCCACGCATCTGGCCACACCGGGTGTACCTTGCCCAAGCGTCTGGCCAGAATGTTGAGGATTCCCAGAGATGTGATATTGCAAGATGATTCCAAAGGAATCAGAAATTAGATCACATTCCATGACATTCCATGAGTAGTTTGGTTAAAAATCCTGCAAGCAAAGTGTTCCAGCCCCAAGGCAAGCTCCTCCAATAAGAGAATGCAACAGTCTGCTGACAAAGCACACAATTGGATTGCACCGTGCGTTGCACCCGTCTGACTCGTCTGGAGTGTGGCCCTGCGCGTCGGCCAGTTCTGACTCGTAGCGGCAAGTTGGATCCATTCACTGCGAAGCGCTCGCTTCGCCTCAATAATTGAGCAACATCAGTGCATAATATGACATCATGTGACAACATGCCAGACTGTTCCATCACGGTTGAAACAATTTGAATAGGGACGAACCTGGCAGCATCAAACATACCAAACATTGGCAGCTATACAGCCAATACTCATGTATGAGATAAGCACTTGCAATGAATTGATGACGGCATCACAGCTTGAACAAAATCTTGTGACTTGATGCTCACAAAACACTGCAATCGACATATCAGCACTCATAATATGCTTTGACTTGGGCTCCGACAAATCTACAACGCTACCAGCCTGCTCTGTGCATCCAAATGTGAAAGGTGATCTCGAAACTGACAGAAAAGTTTCGTTTTGCGCGTGTGGGGCGCTGAAGCCTGGTGCTGGTGCTGTCTTCGGAGCACTGAGACCAAAGGACGTCACAGTGGGTGACATCGGCGAAGCAACGGGTGAGCTTGATGGCATTGACTGAGAGATCTGAGAGTGAGCCGCATGGGCCGAATGGGCAGAAAGTATCAGCGACGGACCAACAGCTGGCAACGGATGTGCCACTGTAGTGAGGGGAGCGACTGGGGCGACTGGGCCAACAGCTGCAACAGGGACGGGAATCAATGACACAGGCGAGCCCTGCGACAGCGGCAGAGGTGCCGAAGTTGCAAGCGCCGGGGGCCCAGGTGCCCAAGAAGGAAAGGCTTGAAAAGTCGATGGCATGGATGGCATCGATGGGCCAATGTTTGGCCCCAGTCTTTGATTTTGTAGCGAAAGCATTGAGCATGATGCATTTGATGCATTCAGTGCATTCAGTGCATTTAAATGTGCAGAATGTGCAGAATGTGCAAGTGATGGTGGAAGGAGCGATGGAATGGCCAATAGAGCTGGAGCTGGAGCTCTAGCGCAACGTAGAGCTCCATTGCTTTTTGCATCGTATGTGTCTCCCATGTTTCTAGTCCTCACAAGAAGTGACAAATTCAAGGAAAAGTACGGACCACAAAAACTCTCATCCAAGCACCGAATTGGGACAACGCAGGAAGTCGAACTTTAATATAATCGTCTCAGCTTGCAAATTTGTTGTATACAATGGTGTCAAATTTCCTCAACAAACAAGATGTGCTTCCAAGGCAGCTGCTGTTAGACAACTCCATTGGGGAGCAGTGACCACACATGGGCCGTCCTCCAATCGCAAGCCAGCCCCGCGGCTACAGCCTACCCCTTCACAAGCCCACAGCTGCAAATCCTACTCAATCGAGTATCAAATCCTACCAGGTCCTACCGTGACAAAGCTTACAATATCTTACAATTCAATACTTCAATCATTTCCAATCAATGAAACAGTGTCGTTCGGTCTCTCTACAGCCACACAGGTGCCACAAGGTGGACAAAAGCCAGGATGGATCGGTCCCATCGGAATCTCGGCAGGAACGCTTCTTTTGAGATACCAGCAAACCGCATGGCAGCGTTAACATTCACAGCGAATTGCGCGTGAAAAGTGTGCAAACCATTCGGCTTGACACAATGTGCACTGAAGCTCAGTTTTGAGCCTCGTTGTCACTCGATGCAACTTAAAATGACTTGATGTAAACAAGCTGTATGCGATCTATAATTGGTACCATACAAAGTCTATATATGACCTAGACAATACATGACGATACTATGAGATACAGAATCTACATCACATATAATTATAATCATCCATGTCTGCGTTGTACACACATATATATATATGTATTATTCTGCATGCAGACCTTGCATGTGGCATAGGTTTCAATTTTGAAAAGACAAATGTAGATCCTCCACCGGCAGAGAAAAGCCAAGAATGTCCAGCGCAGCAACTGCGTCCTTCCTGGACACGCTCCAATCAACCAGGCGGTCGTGGACCACCTGATCAAAACTACATATCTCCTTTTTGGAATACAAATCCGAACACTCCTCTGGCTCCGTCAAGTGAAGGTGCTCCTGAAGAGCATTCAACACATGAAAGGCTTGAACGAACATGAATGCAAGATAATGTAGAACAAATTGGATCTTGTGAGACATAGATTCAAAACAGAAAAGTATATCTCTATATATATAATATATATTATATAATTTATAAACACATCATTTTTTCATATTTTTTTGCTGGATTATGCAGTAGACTGCCTTTTCCGCTCGTCGCAGTAGTGTGAACAGAAGGCGCTGCCAATTCCGCTCGGTCACAGGCAGTGATGGCCGCGACGGCTGTGATGAACTCAGGGAGGAACCCGAGGAACTCGAGATCCGACAGATCCGATGCAAATAAATCACCAACAACACCTCAAGGGGCGCTGCCGCGGTGCCTGATCCGCCGAGTTTCTATATCATCTTATTTTTATACATATATATATATATATCATGATATATAATTGTGTAATGACATATAATGATATATACTGATATAGAATGTTTTTAAGTTCTGTGATCAGGCTGAAAAGCTTTGCTCGCAAGTGGCAGGGTGCGAGCAAGAGAGAGGGATAGAGAGAGAGAGAGAGAGCCGCGTGAGTAAAGATCTACCATGGGAAGCAATGAGAAAGAAGCGAAACAACTTTTGAGGACTGGGTCGCGGGAATTCAACATCTAATAACAGTATTTAACAGTTTAATAACATTCTAAAAGTTCTGCGAAGTTTCAGCGTGCTTCAGTGTCTCAGTCTCTCTCCAGCGTGTCGGCTGAGCTTTGAACCGCAACTGGCAAGAAGCTATAGGGATTCCCTATAGGAAAGCTCAAAGATCTCAAAGGCTCCGATGGTTCCTTCGGTTCCTTCCGACTCATCTCCATCAAGAACTCTGCTACTTCAAAGCGCCCAGGAGAGCCAAGGCCAGATTCATGGCCTGACGGTAAGGTCAAAGCTGCCTGTAAAAAATCTGCCGATGCAAAACAACAGTGAAAAAAAAGCTGTCATGATTGTCCTGCTCAGATTGCACAGATTTGCAAAGCGCATCGTTTGTGTTTGGTGGCCTGGTGTCCACAGAACCTGATCGTTGAAATCACCAGTGTCACATGACCTCAGCAAGAAGAATTCACGGAACATCATGGAGTACATCCGAAGCAACTGAGCTTTGGTCAAAGGACATCATTCAACATCATTCAACTTCATAACATGAGCGAAACATAGAGAGGTTCGAAGACTTTCGGACACTTAGCTGCCAGAACATGCCAGAAGTGCTCAAATCTTGTCAGGAACTGAGCCAAGAAACATCATCTTCTGTATGACGCCGGCACAGGAGCATGCGATCTGTTCGAATGTGAGACTGGCATCTGGGACAGGTTCTGCAGGCGGCACCGGTGCAACTGGTGCAACTGGTGCAACTGGTGCAACTGGTGCAACTGGTGCAACTGGTGCAACTGGTGCGACTGGTGCGACTGGTGCCAAAGGCTCAGAGTTCAGCCCAAAGCTCAAATAAGAATTGGCAAATGAGCCCAGAGCACTTGGCTTCGTCTCAGATCTTTCTGCGAAATCTTTCGTCCCTCTCAGCCAGTCACAACTTTTGTCCCTCTGGTCCTGGTCCCTCTGGTCCCTCTGGTCCCTCTCACAACTTTCTGACTCCCGATGGACGCCCAAAATCGTGAGACTGTCGCTGCCACTGCCACTGTTCATTTGATTCGGGCTCTGTTGGTTTTGGCCACTCGAAGTTTCCTTTGTTCGAGCTTTGGCACCGTCAAAACCCAAGGTTTCTGCGAAGACTGGGACACCTGCTGTGATGCACTGCCGAGAAATTGCTGCCACATCGTCTCCAACTGACTGGATCGTCCTCCCAGTAAGATGCCTTGGGAGTTGAGAAGTCGTAGTGAAGCAATTGCTGAAGTCCAGAAAAACCAGAAAACAAATCGCACCACGTCTAAGGCCCACTGTATTCAAAGGCCTGTTTCAATCCAAGATCCGCACTCTTCCAGCTTCTCTGTCAGGAATCGCACATGTTCGGCCTACAATTTGGAGCTTGGAATGATAAATTGATATGATCATATATGATCTTTTAAGGAAATCTCTGACTGATGATGGTTTATATATATATATATTATGCATGTCGGAAAAATATCGCATAGTAATAACATGGTTTCACATCGGCATGCTTTGTCCGATGGTGTATGTACAAATAAGCACACCATATATGAACATATTAGTAATTATTACCATATCATCTTCATTCATCTTCTATAGAAACATAGATATATTATGATATAGTATGTGTCATATTATAAGATAAATATGCCAAAACAATCAACATTTTCGATTCAAGGATTGTGGAAGGGTCGCATATTTCCAAATATCTAGGTAGGTAAACATGTATGTAGATCCCGTTCAATATGTTCAGAGGGGGTGGGGGATTTGCCTTATGAAGACAAGTGGTGGACAAACGTCCGGGTTGGAGCGAACATGTTGGTATTGTTCTGCGCAGAACGAAGATCGAATGAAGTATGTGTCCTATTCGTCCTATTGTGTTCTATTCTGTCCTATTTTGTCCTTCCTTTGCAGTGGTAAGTGCCCACGGCTTTTCAGCTGAACATGGGTCACGCCTGCATCTTTGCTTTAACTTCCAGCTCCGCTGCTTGGGAGCGAAAATGGTTCAGCTGCTGCGCATAATCCACATTCTGAGCCTTTGGAATTGGAAAGGACTCAAGGAAGCTCAAGGAACTTGAACCAAAGTGAACCAACTGCTTCCAAATGCTTCAAACCTTCCATGACCTGCCATCACCTGCTTCCACTCTGGCCTAGCCATGGCCTAGCCTGCAAAGTCTTGAGCTTCAAGTCAAGTTGACTAACCTCTTGAGCGAGATCCTAGTCAAAGCTAGCACGAGAGAACCGAGACATCAAACAACGCTTACCTAGGCTTAACGCTTCAAGATGCTCAAAGATGCTTGAAAATTCTCAATGCTGTTGCTTTTCTGATCTTTTCTTTAACAAAAGCGCAGAAGCTGACGCAGCTGCATCAGTTCACCCGGCAAGTCCCTTTCACTCCGTCCTGATTTCTTTCTGCCAGACATGCCAACCTGAAGCTCGTCAGAAGGGAAGACTGCAATCAGAAGTGTGCTAAGTCTTAGCTAAGTGATGTTAAGTGTAATTCAATGGCATACTATGAAATTCACATTGAAATCCATTGTAATTAGTTACGTAATGTCGTCTAATTCAGCATGGTGGTCATTGTCGAGCGATTCAAAGGCTCCAGCAGAGCTTTTTCGCGTATCTTCGAAGCCTGGCAGAAAAGTCTTCGAGTTCGTCGAAGCACAGAGTGGCACAGAGTCAAAAAAATGAGGACAAATCTCCGATGATCAGACCGTGAATCCGATTTCGAAGCTGATGGGTACAAGATGGGTACAAGATGTCAGTACGTGTTTGAATCATTTTGAATCGGTAGATGGAAAAATGGGTGGGCAATGATGCGTAGACAGCGCTAGACACGCATGTGTAGGTGTATATATATATAGAATTATATAGATAGATTCATATAGATTCTATGATCATACAGGTCTATATATACATACGCACCACACTTTTGTCTTGCTTGCGGGCAACCCGAACAAGTTGAATTATGAGCTGGAAACGGCACAAACTTAAGTGAGCAACTTTTTGAACTTGAGGGTTCACTTTTCTTTCGCACATCAGAACACCACACCAAACATCACCAAACATCACGAAACCATGCCAGATCTGAGTATATTGCACACAAACTGGTTTCTGCCAGAATGAGATGATCGGCTGTCTTGGAGGCTCCTTTCTCTGCCACAAAAAGCATCCCAAAACACTATCGACCTGCTCCCTCACGCGAATGAGGGAGGCTTCACGGAGAACAAGCACTCCGCGGAGCAGTCTTGCTCGATGACCTTTCCAACTTTGGCTGCCAAAAGTCAGCTGGAAATTCAACCTCACTGCTAACGGACCTATTCAATCCTATTCAGATCTATTCAGTGGAATCCCCGCTTTCCAATGACTCGAGCTGAACATGGGCTCGACACTCGACTCCCAACTTGAACCTGGGAGGAACGAAATCTTTTCCGTCTCCTTCACCAACCCTTCATCGGATAGCCTGCACAGTTGCCACAGGGTCAAGAAATGCCAAGAATATAAGAAACTTGTCTAAACCCTCACACCCTCTCACACTAGCTCAAAGCTCTCGAATGAGTCACGACCCAGCCTGCTAAGGGTGACGAGATTCTCCAATCCAAGATCCATGAACTGGTCTGCATATTGCGGTATCCCCAAGAGACTCAAGAAATTGCCCACTGCACTGTGCAAGCTTTGTTGTATGTTCCCGGAATCCAACTTGGAAACTTTGTCCCGCGGATCTCTCTCAGTTGGGGCATTGCCAACATTTCCTTGGTTTTCCAGCTCTGGCGATCTTACCTCTGCTGGAAGTGAACAGCTTGGCACGAGGGACCCATCCATCGATGCTGCAAGGAATAGTTTCGTTTGCCGCACTGGATTTCCGCAAACGTAGCAAGCACAATCAAAGTGATGATCAGTGCGGTTGCGTATTTGGACTGCTCTTGTCTCTTTCGCGCGCTCAATTGTTGCAGTTGAAGAAAAAGGGTCGCGCAAAGCAGGACCAAGGGAACGTGCTCTCGGGCAATCTTCACCTCGTCTCAATTGAGATCTCGACAGGCAAAATGAACCAAAATGAATCAACATGACAACACAATGACTCATGACGAAACATGTGACAAGATACGTGACAAGACATGGCAAAACGTGTCACGGCCACTTCGAAGTTGCACATCTCAGCCCTCCACTGAAACGTGATGCAGAAACATCAGCTCTAAGTGAAGCAGCACAGCCCAAACGTCTTCGTGAGCAGCCCATGGCTCTGACAAAGAAATGCTGGAAATGTACCGATTGCTTTCATCGCAATTAATCCAAGAGCCTTTGTGGATCTTTGTAGCCGTTAAAGCAAAAGCTGCTTTGGTTTCCCCGTGAACATGCGACCATCATTAAAGCTCACAACAAGAGATCTGCAACAAAAGGGTGATTGCCATTCTTCCCCTGGAGTGTCATTTGAAAATCTACATTTGGAGCTGAAGCCAATATGACAGAAAAACATGTTCTTCAGAGTGTTTCAGTGAAAATATGCGAACATAAGCTGCGTCACTCCTCAAAATGTGTAGGTCAGAATGATCGCTTTGCATCCCAAACAGTGATGTGTGTTTTCCGATTTTGCTTCTGCATACTTTGATGCAAAAGTGGAAGCCCTGCTCCATCTGTGAGTGCAGAGCTGTGAATAACAATACATAAAGCAATGCCCAGGCTAACTCTGCCTGAGAACTGCAATTCAAACCACCCAAGCAATCAGATGCAATCAGGTTTCAGGATTGCTCACTGTTGGTAAGGTCTACATCAAGCCTCGTTGGAACCGACACCAGACTGAAGCGACCATCTCGGGACAGAGAAGTCATACAAAAATATACAAAGATATGCAAAGTCTATGGACTGCCTACCCATAGCCTATCTTGGCATGGGACTCCTCCAGTATCGACGAAGAACAAGGTATCCTGATCGTCTTCTTCTCTGTCCTGCTTCCAAGATGTGCCAAGATGTGTGCCAAGATGTGTGCCAAGATGTGTGCCAAGATGTGTGCCAAGATGTGTACCAAGATGTGCCAAGATGTGCCAAGATGTGCCAAGATGTGCCAAGGAGCTCTTGGCTCTTCCATTGCAACGGAACTGATTCGTTCTGCGTCACTACAGTCGGCCATACCCCACATACTTTCTGGTTAAAACATGGTAAAACATGTTAAAACATGTTAAAACCTGTTAAAACCTGTTAAAACATTTAAAACATTTAAAACATTCGCATCTCCTGCGCGGCGTCTGCAAGCGGCACCTGCAGCGAAAAGGGGAAAGCGTGACCAACTCTAAAAATGAATTGAACAGAAGTTGAAGGCTCAAACACGATGAATCAGAAGCGATTCCGCAGCAACAGCAATTATGTCAAAGATTGTCAAAGTATGTGAGCACATTACCATTTAAAACAATAACACCGAATTCTGAATAGATTGTATCAAATTAAGAAGATTTAAAGATCAGCAAAACGGTCTTATGATGTCTGATGTGGTTTGTTCATGTTTGTTCGGGGTGGAACCTCGGCTGAGCGCTCCTTGGGCAGTTCTAGCGGCGCTTGCTCCGGCTCTATTCTTGGCCGCTTCAGTGCGGGCGCTGCACCTGGCGTGACGCTACCCTCGGCATCCTTGGGCCGACATGGGACGACTGTCGCGCTACAGTCTTTTCCGGACACCGTACACTCCGTACGCCCACCTTGCCTGCACTGTTTGAAGCATCCACCTATCGAGACATGAGTATACTGAATTATACTGAGTATACCGTATACCGTCAAATCATGTCAAATCAGGAATATATCAAGAATTCATGCTGACTATGCTGTCTATGGGCCTCTTGATCCACCACGATATCCTCCTCTTCTTCACCTTCCTCTTCGTCCTCTAACATAGACAAGTATGGATCGGTTTGGGCCTTGGCTCATCCAGGAACAGGATAAGGGAAGAGTTTTCACATGCAAGGCTCGATGCTGCATCTGAATGAATAAAATGAATCAACTGAATGAAATGAATGAAATGAAGGCATATAAAATGCATATAAAATGCATATGCATATAAAATATATAAATGCAAGTTCAGAAATGTCTAGTAAGCACCAAACAACTTCCGCATCACCCAAGTCATGATCCGGAGAGCCTCCAATCCTCGTGGCAGCAAAGAGTACAAACGTGTCTTGCACACATCCAAAGAACCGGGAGCCTTGTCTCGGCATGTCTTGCCGTCTTGCCAGTATCATGACTAGTTCTGGCAACAGTTCTGGCAAGTGACATTTTGAGTTCTCCAACGGCTTGTGTTTCATCGCCTTCTGCTGTTTCACGAGTACCATAATATCTACGCCCGACTTTTGCAGCAACTCCTCTGATGGCAATCATGACCACAGCAGATGGGTTCTTCGCATACTTCAATCGATGCTGGCAAGACCTGCAGCGGCGCATCGCTTCGGTATGCTCCAGGAGTCCACAATTGGTCCAGACTTAGTCCACGAGTCCACAGCGTCATCACTGGTCCGTTTTCAAACACAATAAATGTTGCACAAAGTTACACAAACCTGCACAACTGACAACACATTTAGACGATTTCACAATTAATATTTCTTATAATTACAATGAAGCGATTTAGAAGTAGCATAAATTTGAGGGCTGTTACTCTTGAGATAAGAATGGTCTATGGATATCTATGGAATGTCTACAAGGCAAACAAGATTGGCAATGCACTGGAAGCTTGATCGCAGAAGCAAAGAGCGGAACTCTGCTCTGGCATGAAGGCAAGAAGAAGAGACAAGAAGATTGCAAAGCCACAACTTGTTCGAAGCTCATGCGACATGCGTGTGACCATACACCATGGGTTCGAAGTAAGTTCAAAAGCGCAGCATGCCCGACTCAAAACGGCTCTGGAGCTTTCCGAAAGGCTCCCAGCCCAGTACAGACACGTTGGATCTAAAGAGCAATCAAGACCCTCTTAGAAAATGCAACAGTGACGAAATGACATTGGGTAAGGTCCTGACTCAATGACAAAAGCAGCTTCATCATCTTGTAGCTTCAAAAGGCACTTGGCAGCTAGTTCATCTAGACCAAAGACTCTGATAAATTTCTCCAATGGAGCTTCTACCTTCTCTTCTCGTTCTGGTTCTGCTTCTCTTTCTTTGTCTGCTTCCCTGTTTGTCTCTGGAGCTTGAGGCATTGTTGATTCTGCTTGCGTTCTTCGCCAGGGGGGAACCGTGGAGGAAACAGCTCTTGCCGAATTCCCTGTGGTTCCCATTTTTTCTCTCAAAAGCCGGGCTAGTGTCTCTAGAAGCACTGCTTCTCGCAGGGCTTCTTCGCTCATTTGACTCTGCATAGGAACCGCGTGTGGAACCTGCATATGGCTGGCCATATGCATCTGCATCTGCGGCTGCATCTGCGGCTGCATCTGCGGCTGCATCTGCAGCTGCATCTGCGGGTGCATTTGCGGGTGCATTTGCGGGTGCATTTGTGGATGCATTTGCAGCTGCATGTGTGGCTGCATTTGCGGCTGCACTTGTCCCTGCATTCCCATCTGCTGCGCTTCCAAGCTGCAGCCTGAGCCTTGACTGGCTGGAACGGGCTTGGCTTAATTGAGGTTTTACCTCCGCACTAAGTGGGCAACATTCTTCCTGAGCCCATATGGCCACGTATGAACACTCTCATGTCGAGTTGTTTTGGAAGATGACATCACGGCGCAATCCACCCTGTAACTTCAGTGTTTCTGTATCTTTTTGTTCGCGATGTATTGCAGAGCAGCTTTAGCTCTTTCGCACGCAAAGGCACGAAGAAGCCACGCTTCTTGGCTTCTTTCGTGCCCCAACGCGGTAATGTTAACAAAGCACCGGGCTTTCATGACGTGGTAGAATGACTTTAGCGTTGACTTTTTGTGAACTGTTGTGCCTGAGGTTAGTCCTCCTTCTGAGATAGCCATGTCGAGCCATGTGCATACCCCACATCACCGATAGCAGTCACTTCTGGCAAATGCATAATTTAGGTTTGCAAGCGATTGAAGTGCTGATCTTGTTCCCGACTGCTCTTCGCATTGAGCAGGTCTGCATGTTCTTGTCGATCCATGTGTTCAGGTCCTCTCAGCCAAGTCATAAACTAAACCGTTCTTATTCTTTAATCGCTCGACATTTATGGCAGGAACAAAAAACTAAATTGCAAATCCTGCGTCGCCACATCCATATTATCATTCCTTAGGAATCTGAATCAAAACTTTCAAGATATGCAAATGATCTGCACGACAAGCTCGGAAGCGATTGAAGCATTGGAAAACTGGGCCCCGAACACTGACATCACACTTGCAAATTAAACGATCCATCTGGAATCCCTGTGAAGGAGTTGCCTCGCAGACTCAGATATCAAAGCTAAATCAAATCGCTTCAAACTCTAGTCAGGAGCGTGTCAAAAATGTTCGAATGATTCCAATCAGTTCAATATCATGAAGTGCATACATAATACACTTATAAAAATGTATGTGTGTACCGTATATATGTATATATGCTACCCCCCCAAAGATCTACCATTTTTAGCTTTTTGTTGATGTCAAAGAGGTAGTATTTCTTGGGAACCTTTTGCAAAAACAAAGTAAGCACACTATTACTTTCAAAAAAGATGAGCACATACTCAGGTCAGAAAGCACAACATTTCTTGAAGGAAGCAATCTGTTTTAAATTGCAGCGTTCCTTTCCATGCTTGAAAAAAAGGCACCTTCATTCATAAACTGCAATTTTCCTTCCAAACAAAGTATGATTTCGTTCAAGAAACAGTACCCCTACAAAATATAGAGCATTCCTCTAAACATGCAGTGCTTTCTTTCTGAAGAAGTGCAGTCTTCCTTTCAAACTAATATTAAGCCTTCCTTCAATCATACAGTATTTCTTTCAAAACACCAGATTCTAACATTTTGGACATGTCTGTGTTTTTGATGCAACAGAGTAAGAATAATATCTTGGTCAGCAATTTTTAATATACAATGAATATACTTTCATTATAGATTCCATATACTTTAAAATACCAGTTTGTTGACCATAAACATATCTTTAATAAACTCTAGCAAACCTTTGGCATACCTTCAATATCCCCTTTTAAATACCATCTTTAAAAAAAAACTGTAATATACCATTCGATATTCCTGTAGCATTCCATTGGAACGATGAAGCTACTTTTAATACACAATTTAGTTGGCTTTGGTATACTTTAAATATACCTTCAATGCATAAAACTTCACTATACCAGTTAATCTACCTTAAATATACATAAATATACCATTTAATTGACCTTAAATATACCATTTGATTGGCCATGAAAACATCTTCAATACACCTTTAGGATACCTCTCTACCTCATTTAATTTGTCTTGAATTAACCTTTAACGTACCATCTATACTTAGTTTACCATTTAAGAATCGTTAATATTCCATTTGATATACCGTTAATATATTATAAAAATGTTGTTTACTACAAGGCCTGGATTCAAGAAGTTTCCCCCAGAATCTTGAATCTTGAATCTTGAATCCAGGAAAGTTTGCAAAGTTTGCAAATTTTTGGGAAGTGTCTGCGTGTGTACGTCTGTGTGTGTTTGCCACGTTTTGTTGATTCATCGCATATGCCTGTGTATATGTATACGTGTTTATTTATATATATATAGGCATAAGATGTGTATAATGTGTATATTATGATATATTATGTATACATGATATACGCCACATATGATGTATGGGCTGTATGGGCTTGAGTTGCACCAAATTCTGCGCAGCGATATCTTCAATGGCACTGGCCGGCACGACGTGCCAAGATCCAGAGCTGAGGCCGTGAAGCGAAGCAGGCTGAGCAGGCTGAGCGCATGGCACGGCGAAAGCGGCGAAAGCACAAGGCATGACACGTGACAAGTCGTTTTGACACGTGACAAGTCGTTGATCTTGTTGAGAGTTGAGATCAGAAACGACGGAAACTTTGGAAGAAACATGAAGAAGATTGAAGACATTGAAGAAGCTATACTGGTAGAGTGCTTGTTGCATTGGGAAAAACGTCTGAAAAGACATGCGCATATCTGTGCGTCTGTGTGCGTGCGCTAAGGAGGAAGGTGGCAAGTAGGCCCAGCATAGGATTTGTCAGACAAGACTTGGCAAGTTTCTCTGGGTTTCCCTTCACCACCGCTTCCCCCAGAACCACTCACTTCTCCTTCAAACTTCCAAAAGTAAATCCTTGCAATCTGTTCCTCCAACACCTTTCTTCTGTGTCAAAGGGCCGGTTGTCTGGCTAGGTTTTGCAAATCAAACTGAGCTGCAAACTCCCACCGCATTGTGAACAGGTTCAGTACTCAACAAGAGTGGTGGAGTCGAGTCGTAAAGCACATGGGCATCCATTTTGGTTGCAAGCATGTCATTGTACCTGTGCAAAAAGTCTAACGTGATAAACCCAATAATAAACCATCCCCAAATTTACCAGAAATGGGTGACCATAGGAGATTGATCCAACACTATGTATTGCTACGAAAAGTTAGTTACACGATGCAAAGTATTCACCAAATATGTAGTTGTTCAACATCCACTGCTGAATATAATCGGTTCTGAAGGATGAACCTTCCAACTCTGTGATGTTTATCAGCCCCAAATATGATGCTGAGTTGACCCCTACATGCCATAGGAGCGGACGCAGGAAAGGCTGTTTTGAAAACAGACAGTTTCTTTCTGAAACGAGGACTTTGAAATCATATCCAAATTGATCAGTACTCCTTCGCATATCTTCGCATATCTTATCCATTCTCATCCTATGTTCATCATCTTTCACTTACTTTTTAATCCAATCCCCACAGAGCCAGAACCAGCACCTCAGACTCGAGGCGCACATTTCCAACAGAGGCATTCGCATCGACTGTGTCAGTTGATCGCGTCCCTGTCTGAAATCTCAAAGAGACCACCAAAGGAGTCGCTGCAACTTGAGTGAAACAAAACAACAGCGACAGGAGCTGTGCCAGGTTCGGTATGGGCGATATCCAGCCCCGACCAGATCGCCTTGCCCAGAAACGGGCGAGTACTTGCTGCATTCCCCGTTCCCAGGTCGCTGTGGTCGCTGTGGTCGCTGTTGCAGCATTGTCGACGGAATTGTCACATCGGTTCTTCGTAGCTCCATAGGCACCAGGCTTGCCTGGTGACCAATTTGGCCGTTTTGGCCCATTTGGCACGGCCCTACTAGTCTCCCTAGTTGAGGACATCTCCTTGATCCGACAAAACACGAGCAGTTCATTTGTAATCAACGAACAAATCACAGCTATATATATATGTCAATCTAACAATCCAACACTTTCAGAATCTAAAAAAATGCGTTGAATCTTTCAACAAGGGAAGCAAATGTAAAACCACCGCCTCTTTACTTCTCTAACCCTGAATCACAGGTGCGAGAGCAAGTGTGAAACAGACATAAAATTAAGAGGAAACACACATGGGAAATTGCAGGTTGCTTCTGCCCTGCACTATGAAATGCTTACCATATCTCCTGCCTTCTGGATTGACAGGCCATGCATTTACATGTACAAATCGCCACAGCGGCATGCATTTCAGCGCAGTCTTAGGCGCCTTCAAACCTACGCAGTTTCTTGCAGGCCATTTGCACTACACGAAATAATGCGCAAACTCTACAGCTGCTACAGCTGCTACGGGGAGCTAAGTACTGAGAAATGGCTGGTTCACATTGGCAGCCCAAGAATTACTGTGAACGTGTATTCAAAGTTATGCAAAGCTGCAGAAAGCTAAGCTTCTTGTCGAAGTAATGGGAGCGATGGTGGAACCCCCACAGCCATGGCTGCCCCATTTCCACCATGCGCTCTTCGGGCATCCGATGCACTCGCACTTCGAGGTGTCATGCGCGGCGAAGGGCCTTTGATGCCCAAACCACCGCTGCTAGCGCTGCTGCAGCCCAACCGTTTCTCATTCCTGGCATTTCAGGTGCACTGCCATGCAATCTGTCTGGGTAAAACCTTGGAAAACCAGGTCGGAACATGGATCATCATGGGTTTCTTCACAATGAACGAATTGACTTGCAATACAGTAGTATGATTTGTTTTGTTTCGTTTCAAACTTTTGTCTCCGATCTCCCGGTGTCCTTTCACTTTTTTCGCTTTTTTCTTTTCGAACCTCGAGCTTTCCACTTCTTAGACCTGGAGCGCTCATGCTTCCAGCGGAACCTGTGGAGACCCTGCCATAGCCAGAGCTGGTCGAATTGGCAGTTCGTTTCTTGGGAGCTGGGCCTCCGCAAACGTATCCGATAAGGTCAATAAACGCCAAGAACATCCAAGAACATCCAAGAACATCCAAGAACAAGTGAAATTGTACACTGATACATCACAACGTGACACTGTGCTAACACTCAAGTGAGTCTAAGCGAGTCTTTGCATTGAAAGTCGAAAGATGTCGAAAGTCTTTGAAGGTCGTATGTCTTGGCATTGCGCCTTGTGTGGCGCCACTCTCTGACCCCGAGCTACCACGACTTCTCCTCGCTGGCGGCGGCAGCGGTGGTTGGCCACGCTCGTCGCGGTCATCCTCGCGTCCACTCGGCTTCTCGCTGGGCTTTTCGCTTGGCTTCTCGCTCTTTTCATCCTTCTCAGGATGCGTTGCCTGCACTGCTGCATTGCCACCGCATTGCCACTGCATCGTACTGCATTGCATTACATTGTGTAACTCTGCGTCATCGTGCAATTCTGATCAATTCTGCATAGTTCACCGCATTGTACTTCAGATACATGCGATGCATTGGAATGTACCACTTCCACAGCAGAGCGAACTCCGTGCACGTCAGCACAGTCATTGAGTCCCAGACAGAAGGCAAGCCTGCGCTCAGGTGTTCGTTCAAGTCTTCTATCAAGGCACCTTTGCAAGACACTGGAATCACATTCTTGCCAGCAAAGTGTATTTTGAAGATTGCTGTTGGCTTTCGTCGGAATTTGTCCTCAGCAAGACTTAGGACCTTGCTCTGGCTCTCGATGATGCGGCACTGTTCTGTGAGGGCTGCCTCAAGTCCAGGTTCCTTCTTAATAGAGCTTTGATGTTTGTTTGAAAGGTGAACTGCAATAATACAGCTGAACAAGTTTGCTTGTTGGAGTTTGGTATTGCTACTTGAACATATCAAGTAAAATATGTGTTCTATATATATATGAGGTTTTTTTTAATGTTTTCTGTAATGTTTTGGTTTGATCGTTTTGTCGCCTCCTGTGCTTCGACGATTGCGCGGAGCTCCTGGAGCTCTTGCTCCGCCTCGAGCTCTCGCACGCGCGTCTCCAACTCTTCCACCCGAGCCTCACAACATCCCCCAACAAATCGTCAACAAATCGTCATGTCAAGGTGTCAAATCATGTCAAATATTGTCAAATCTAGGTCTATAGGGTCTATAGGTCTATAGGTCCATCATGTCTGTCTACACTCTTGCAGATCATACAGCACATATCAGCACATAATGTCTAAAGTCTAAACATGTGATTCGTCTACAGTTGTTCTGCACACATGTCAAGAGCGTTTCTGGTTTCAAAAAACACTCAGTTTGTTTTTGCCACCTGCAAGGCACGGGTGTCCCCCATCCTCCAAAAAGAGTCAGCCCGATGTCAGAAAACTTGAAACCTGCACTACTCTCCAAGCTATGAGCCAAATGCAAAGGAAAAGATGGGAAAGCTTTTCCAAATGTAACTCCACAAACTTGCAAAGGTATGGAAACATCAATGTCTCAAGACCGGCTTGCACTCAAAACTCTTGTCATCCATTCGGCCGTCTTTTTTCTGAACCCTGTTCAGTCAAAGTTTCTACGAAAAGGCAATTTTAGCCTGAAACATTAACATTGCTGGAATTACACGTCCATCGCAGGCAGTTCTGCAAAAGAGTGCCATTCCTGCCACAGTGCCTCTGGGTGGCACGAGTAAAATGTGACCAGTTATGGCCTGCTTTCACTCAGACTTGGCACCCTTTCCTCCAAGCTGAAAAACAAATTTCTTCCGGATATTTTAGGACATGAATTTCACTTTTTGTCGAGATATATCGTCTTCGAAGTTCATGGACCTCTCAAACGCTGTCTTCCTGTAAATTCCTCGTTCTGTTTTCGGAGAGGTCCTGTCTTTGGGCTTTTGGACTCTGCGGCCTTTCGAACAGGTTCTTCCTTGACCCCAAGCCTTCCTGGGATTCTAGCCTGGAGTGCTTCCGATCACGGCTGGACTTCAATGTTATGAATCCAGGAAGAGAGACCTTTCAAGAGCTAGGAGTGAAAGGATGTCTTTTGAGGCTCCAACTAATCTTTGCTTCCTTTCCTCGTCAGACACGAGCCTAAGAAGCTCAAGGAGCTCAGAGAAAAGCGTTGACAAAGTGATTTCGGAGCTTCAATCTTTGGTAACTTTGGTCACTTCGACAAAGTGACGGAGCTGTGCGGCCGCTGGGATAATGTCGACGTTGACTGAGTTCCTCAGATCTCGAGCGCCTCTTCTGATCTGAGACTGAAAGGCACTGAAAGGCAAAGCAAACAGTACCACAAAAGCTTTCATGTCTGGCAAAATCAAACATGAAAGAAGCAACAAAACAACAATCATGTTGCAAGGCCTTCACAGGTCTCCACAGCCCGCAAATTGATTGATGCGAACATGAACAAATACTATAATGCATATATAAATAAATATTAATATTTGTATTATATATATATATACAGAATACATATATACATAAATAGGTACACTTGTCATCATATATATTGTACATTATATATCAAATAGAACCCCCAAAAAGATACCAGTAGAAAAGTGTTTCCAGGATTGTTCCTTGTATTTTTCAGGTTTCCATCTCTTCTATCTATTTGGGGGTTGCTATATTCAAGCAGGCTGGCAGTTACGTTGCAGCTAAAGAACATAATAGTCCACGTGTGGCTGCGCAAGGACAAACTCCCTGATTTTGAGATTGTTCATGGGATCCTGGTTCCTGGCGCGGCTGGGTTCAAGGCCAGTACAGTCGCACGCAAAAATCGATTCCATTGAAGTGTCAACAACGAATCGAATGGGCGCACACGATGAGGATACTTCCAGGGTCGGTGTCATAGACTTGCACCTTGACTCCTGTTTCAGGCTTGGCATGCCATAGCGACATGATGCAGGATGCGATGTCATGCCGAATGCAGAGAACGGCATAGAATGGAGAGGGCACTACACTTTCTCTTGCAGTTAAGATCTTCCGTCAAATGCTTCGCAATCTACCCCTTTTACATTCCTTTTACCAAGTCTTACAAAGTTTTACCAATAGTTTCATGGTCTGATGTTTTCGGCGGCCTCCATTTTCTAGAAGGCTCGTCCAGCTTCTTGATAGGGTTGTAGTACCATGTTTTCCATGCTCTTCGGCCTGAAGGATCAGTGATCAGTGATCGATGATCCAAGATGATCCAAGATGATCCAAGACTCTCCAAATGCTCATCGCATCTCATCGCAAAGCTTAGGAGCGGACCCACTTGATATCCAGGTTCACGAAGGCCATAGTGACCCCAGACCCAGAGCCGCCCATGAAGGACATTGGGTCAGCTTGAAACTCCTGCGACATAGTAGGTGGAAGCACAAGGACACCAAACGCTGAATTCAGGCAAATCATAAAAGTCATAAAACTATTGATCTTTTAATATCTTTTAATCTTCTTTTTCCTCAAAGCTACGATTACACAGTACGACAATTCCAGCTTGTCTCAGAGCCAAACAGTCCTTCGAATTGAAGTCAAGCTTGGGTTGCTTCTTCTTACTCCGCGTCTTCTTCACGTGATCCAAGAAAGGTGCAGGAACGTCGGTCTGTACAGAAGAAACAAGATAAAGAACGCTAGACTGGCAATTTAAACATTGCAAATCCCAGCGGCGAAGAAACAAAGTATGATTTGTTAGGTTTTTATTGTAAAATTATGTAAACACGTTCAATCAAGACTTGTCAAATTTTTAAACACTTACATCCTTTCCATATCCTTTCCATATCCTTTCCATATCCTTTCCATATTCTTTCCATATCCTTTCCATATCCTTTCCATATCCTTTCCATATTGGGTTCAAGCCGTTCAAGCCATTCAAGCCTCCATGTCATCTATGTCTCCAACGTCCAGGTCTCGGATGTCCGCCTCGAGTCTCCACTTTCGAGGGGTTCGGAGCGTACACTCGAAAGAACTCGGTTGCTACGTTGCTACTTGGTTTCGACTTACCCGGACTTACCCTATCCGAACTCAAGTTAGGCTGCACTTGTGCACAACTGCAGGATTCTTATTTATCTCTCAATTTTTGTTAAACTTGAATCTGCCAAATCCCTGTTGATGCTGCATTGCTTTGCGGCAACTGGGGTAGGACGAGCTGAAAAGGTGTTGGTAAACATGTCAATGACAAATCAGTAAGGATCCTGTTGTTAGGACACCAAAAACAGCAAAAGCCGACAACATTCACGCCAACATTGCCAAAGCATGCCAAAGCTCAGAAAAGCTGAAGAAGCTCAAACTGATTGCTGAAAAGTGTTTAGGACCGTTTGGCACATGAAAAATTGTTGGCACCACTTGTTATTTTCTGCTCACACTGTCCCCCGGACCTTGGCATCTACAATTTGGTAGCGCGGTGGATGGTACTCCATAGCATTCGCGACCACCAGCAAGAAGAAGGGTCGTATCCATGGAGCCATGGCGGAACTGAGTTATCTGAGGTAAAATCGGTAAAATTACTTCTGTTGATTCCCGAGAAGCAAAGATGGGGTGCTCCGGGAGTTTCCTCTAAGATTCTAATAGGTCATGTGGTTATGTAGCAACGGAGACAGTAACGCTGAGGATTAATTGCAAAGCAGCAAGGTGCCACGAAGGTACAATGTGAATGAAACAGGAACCCTCGTGCTGTGATGTACTCTTTCTGGAAATATGGAAATTGCAAATCTGTTCCTACGCTTGTCCAAGTCGTCAAAGCGTCAAGACTCGGATGCAAAATTTAAGTCCTGACGTCAACACTCATTGTCTTGCTTCAACAAAGCCGAAAGTCTTTCAGGGTTCCTTTCAATGACATTCACTGCGTTCAAAGATGTTCAAAGATGCTTTGTTGATATTCAAGGACTCCTGATGCAATATGATGGAATCACTGAGGACTCAGGACCTTCACAATGTTTGACCAGCGGATGAAATCTGGACATGTGAGACGGTCTGGTGCCCTTAGAGGCTGAGACCACTCCGTGCATCTGATGTGACACAGCCACGTTCGCTGTGAAGTGAAACTGGAGGTGTTACTCAAAGGTGCCAACTGTTAGCGTTATTTCAGGATTCGCATAAATTCATAAATTATATAAAGTTCCATTTGCTGGGATCTGCGGTTTTTGCAAAGAAACAGCAATGACCCTGTCGCGTTCGATTACATTGTGCTTATTCTCCACTCAGTTGGCGAATCATGGACTGCCAATTCCTCTCTCCAGCCTCAAGGTATCGCAAAGGGTCAAAGATTTCTTGTATCTAAACATAATATCTAAACCAGGAATGTTTCTGTCCAGTGCACTTCCACCCAACACAAGTCTGTTAGCAAATTGTCTCTGGCCTCCTCTTTTGCCTCTCGGACAGACATCTCAGCACTTCTGCGTTGGACTTCCGCTGTGAAGCTCTGCTTGTACTTTTCGTAGCACTCAAGCCGCCCTGACGGAGTGCTATGACCCAAGCATCGGACACCCGCTTGACCGAGAGGCTCAAACCTAGAGAGCGTTGAGCAACTGTGACCGATTCAAGCATATCAAAAGATTTTGATAGGGACGTTTCTATGGAAACAAAAATTAAAGGACCGGATAACCCCACAAGTCAACTTCTTCCAATTATGAGAAACAAAAGTTGTAGCGGGACGGGGAAGGAAGGAAAGACAAAGGAGGTGGTGGAGGATCGAGAAGTTAAACAAATTGTATGTGAAGAGTTGTGTGTGTGATAAAGTTGTGTGTGAAAGATGTGTCTGACACAATTATGTGTGTGAAAGATTGTGTACAGTGGCGCGCAACTAAAAGATGCAAGTGCTTCCACGGGGCGACAGATGACCATAGGTCGCCCTGCATGGCCCAGAAGCACACACACATGCATCGCGACCAAAATTAAACGACGCAAGTGCTTCTTTCCACGTTGGGCCGCAGCTATGCGGCTACTGCAGCAAGATCGGAGAGCATCATATGACACATCAAGCTGACAACCAGCTGCACACAGTCGAGGAATAGGTGCACTGCCCATCAGTGAAAACCCTGCTTGTCTTCCGCCCATGGAGAAGATGGAAGGGGAACCTGGGCGCGATGCAAAGGCAGATCAGGTTCAGAAAACACAATGCAAAGACACCACGTCACACTGTTTCATGCGTGTTCTAATCGAAAACAATACAGATGGTTCAGCTTTCCGACCGTTGCATACCAGATGCAATGGGCGCACATTGACCTATGTGTTCGGAATGATTTTGAAGTATCAAAGCCACGTTTTTTGGGACACCGGACAAGTCATGGGCCCCTGGCAATCACACAGGGGTAATGGGGCTCAAAGACAGCTGTGATGGAAAACCTTCAACGACGAGCTCGTTGGCGCGCACATACGGCACAAATATACGCTTGTTTTTTTTTGCAGCGCCAACGTCACCTGCGGCGCACGCGATTTCTTCCCACGTTGGGTCACGATCGAGAAATTGGTGGGATGAAGTGTGCCAGCATCTCCAGTGGTGCATTGCTGGCCATCATCTCCAGTGGTGCATTGATGTATGAGTTCCAAAGGAAGATTCATGCGCCAGAGTTCCGTATGCAGGTTCTTCAAGATAATGCGTCGTGAAGTGCCACGCCTGCCACGCAAAGTGAAGGTGGACGTGGCCAAGCGCCACGCCTGCCATGCAAAGTGCCGCGGCGTCACCAGGCCCAAGCGGCGCCCAAGCGGCGCCCACGCGCGCCACCGGAGCCAGCCCAGCGCGGTGAGTGCCACGCCTGCCTCGCAAAACGAAGGTGGATGTCGTGAAGTAGTTGTGTGTGAAAGATGGTGTGTGGCAAAGTTGTGGGTGAAAGATGGTGTGTGGCAAAGTTGTGGGTGACAAAGTTGTGGGTGACAAAGAGGGGTCTGACCAAGTTGCGTGTGACAAAGTTGTGAGATTATGTGTGGTTGTGTGTGAAAGATGGTGTGTGGCAAAGTTGTGTGTGAAAGATGGTGTGTGGCAAAGTTGTGGGTGACAAAGCTGTGGGTGACAAAGAGGGGTCTGACCAAGTTGCGTGTGACAAAGTTGTGAGATTATGTGTGGTTGTGTGTGAAAGATGGTGTGTGGCAAAGTTGTGTGTGAAAGATGGTGTGTGGCAAAGTTGTGGGTGACAAAGTTGTGGGTGATAAAGAGGGGTCTGACCAAGTTGTGTGTGTGTGACAAAGTTGTGTGTGAAAGATGGTGTGTGACAAAGAGGGGTGTGACAAAGTTGTGTGAAATATAGTGTGTGACAAAGTTGTGTGTGAAAGATGGTGTGTGACAAAGTTGTGGGTGACAAAGTTGTGGGTGACAAAGTTGTGGGTGACAAAGAGGGGTCTGACCAAGTTGCGTGTGACAAAGTTGTGAGATTATGTGTGGTTGTGTGTGAAAGATGGTGTGTGGCAAAGTTGTGTGTGAAAGATGGTGTGTGGCAAAGTTGTGGGTGACAAAGTTGTGGGTGATAAAGAGGGGTCTGACCAAGTTGTGTGTGTGACAAAGTTGTGTGTGTGTGAAAGATGGTGTGTGACAAAGAGGGGTGTGACAAAGTTGTGTGAAATATAGTGTGTGACAAAGTTGTGTGTGAAAGATGGTGTGTGACAAAGTTGTGGGTGACAAAGTTGTGGGTGACAAAGTTGTGGGTGACAAAGAGGGGTCTGACCAAGTTGCGTGTGACAAAGTTGTGATATTATGTGTGGTTGTGTGTGAAAGATAGTGTGTGACAAAGTTGTGTGTGAAAGATGGTGTGTGGCAAAGTTGTGGGTGACAAAGTCGTGGGTGATAAAGAGGGGTCTGACCAAGTTGTGTGTGTGTGACAAAGTTGTGTGTGTGTGAAAGATGGTGTGTGACAAAGAGGGGTGTGACAAAGTTGTGTGAAATATAGTGTGTGACAAAGTTGTGTGTGAAAGATGGTGTGTGACAAAGTTGTGGGTGACAAAGTTGTGGGTGACAAAGTTGTGGGTGACAAAGAGGGGTCTGACCAAGTTGCGTGTGACAAAGTTGTGAGATTATGTGTGGTTGTGTGTGAAAGAGAGTGTGTGACAAAGTTGTGAAAGATGGTGTGTGACAAAGTTGTGTGTGTGTGGAACATCTGAATAGATGTAAAACTTCTACCTGTTGTTGTCGTTCGCCACTTTCGTTCTTGTCTTCTATTCATGCTGATGTTTTATTTCAACTACTGTAGCTTCATTTCGATGTTGTATTTCAAGCAGGCGGTAGCGGCAGATCATTTGGGACCGCTACCAACGAAGACGCCCATTTGATCTGTTGATACAGATTGGGGCGCCAATCTGCGTACCTGCACCAATTTTCAATTTCGTCAATGGCAACCAGCTAAGCCAGAACCGGCAAGCCGATCAGTTGAAGGGATTCTCGTTTTACTGCACTGTTGTCGCAATCTACGTTTCTCATTTGACAATTGAAGGGAAGCGTCAGCTTCCACCTTATTGCTTCTAGCATTGACTATGGCGATGGTTCCTTTTCGATACTTTCTTAGGTCTTGTCATCGACCCATTCCTGTCAGGTATAATTGGAGTGTTTTTGCACGTAAGATGCATTCCACATCAGAATTCGCAATGATTGTTCTGAGCAAGTGTGTGAAAGATGGTGTGTGACAAAGTTGTGTGTGAAAGATGGTGTGTGACAAAGAGTGGTGTGACAAAGTTGTGTGTAGCGGGAGGCGGAGCGGGAGGAGGAGGCGAGGCGGGATACAGAATCAAAAACAAGAACCCCACACAAAGATGTGGGGAAAAACAGACTTTGCTAAAGATGGGTTTTGACTTTGCGCCTTTGATGATCCTACGGTGTACCGGCCTCAGCAGGAACCAACAGTGGGTACACTATGGAAAACACCGTGGCACTATCAATTCTGCATAAATCTGGATAAACTATCTGATAAAGATTGAAAGCATGATCAACTGTCAAACTGTGTCAAATGAGTCGAACAAGTCTTTTGAACCGAGGCGTACCGAGGCTGTCTCTGAGCTTCACGCGATCTAAAGGACTTCAATGTTTCGGTGAGCTCTTTTTTCTTTTCGTCGATGTCACTTTCAGCAAGCATGGGATCTTCTGGCCACGAGTCACCAAAGAACAAGGCGCGCAGTTCATACTTTGGAATGCCTTGCCACTGACGCTCTGGGAGCCCAGTGTCTTTGGTGTCCTTTTCTTCTTCTGCTGGAGGCTTTGCTGCAGCTTTGCCCTTTGCTGCTGCCTTTGGAACGGGCTCTGATGGTTTTTCCTCTTCCGCGTTCAGCCGCCGCATCCGTCGTTTGATGGACATCCGGGGGGGCTCTACCTGGCAAGTCAAGAGTCTTTACCGGAGAGTCAGACTGACTCAAACTTGTCAAACTGTCCTCTCCTCTTACTTCTCTTCTACTGCTCTTCTTATTCCATCTGATTCCCTGACTCGCTTTAGACTGAAAAGCAAACACAAAGCCAGAGCACACCTTCAAAGTCAAAATTGAAATGTCTGGACTATCTAAAAAGCTGGGATGATGCCTGGGGGCAGCACTCCCCTAGAGACAGCAAAGACAGCCTCCCAATGCCATTTTTAATTTTAGGGACTTGATACCAGAAATATGCAGAAATTGCTAATTGTCAACCTGCGTCCATCTGAAGAGCTATGCCGGCTGTGCCCATATACTTTGAGAATGAAGACTACGAACACTCCACTCCTCCAATATCCTCCAATCCACGGTCACTTCGGTCACTTCCCAAGTCGTTTTATCAGGTCCCACCGGGTCCCACCGGGTCCCACCTTTTCATCTCCAGGAAGAGCTCCGAAATGACTGTGCAGAGGAAGAAGATCCAAAAGTCGAATCGAAACTTCCGTCACCGTCGTTAAGCGACCTGCCATCGGACCATCGGCTTCTTAACATTTGTTTTGTTTCATATAAAGTGTTTCATCTTGGTCAAAGTATTTTTTGATTGTTTCGCTTTGGAGATTCTACGTATATTATATAGATACATTATGTATTTATATATAATATCATTTGTATGTATGTGTATATACATATAATATATATATATACATATGTGTGTGTGGATTTTATAGGAGTCTTCTGGAGATCTTCGGATTCCTTAGGCCCCCTGACAAACGAAGCTTTCACTGGCAGTACGCAGCTCCGATGCCATCCGGGCCCTGTCCTGGAACTTCAAGACTTGAAACACTTGGTTCCAACATTCTCTCGATTTCTCTCGATTCTTGGATTCTACTATCAAATCTGTCAATTCAGTTTGTGAATTCATGTTATAGTTCATGTTGATTCATGTTGACTAATGTGAATTTCAGCTAATCCTACTGAAGTCTTTCACATGTTGCACTCTACCTTCCATTGTCATTTCACATCTTTCATATCCTTTTGAGCTAGCTTGTTCTAGACCACCCACAACGCGAATCTGGATGTTTATTTGATCAGACCACGGAACCACGACAAGTCCCTCACGAGCTTACCCAGCTATGACAGCTATGGGCTATGTTCCATTCACAGAACGCCGGCGCTTTTGTTGCATGGAAAGTTTGCTGCTCCATAACAGGCAAAAGGAAACTGTGGCTGTCTACTGACTTCACCCATTCAGCTTGTGATCACTCTCATGAGTTTGTGGTCACGTTGTAAATCATTCTAGCAGCCTGCAAAAGGCAAAAGTTGACAGGTTTGGGAACTTCTATGCTAGCTGTGTAGACCAGTTCTGTATAGCCGCGGTGCATAGAACACTGTCAAGTTGCTTTTGTGTGGCTTCGAGGCTGTTTTTCTGTTTTGCAAAAAACGCGTTGACTAGATATGTTTTGTGTTTTGGACCGCACTTCGTTTTCGGTCCATCTCCGTCCTCTTGACAGGTTCGAAACGCATCTGCTTGGCGTTGCGCTTCAGCTTCCACCAGCGCCTGGAGTTCAGCACTTTTGTTCGCGTCTGCCAACCGTGGATTGAGGCCTCGCAGAGAGCACCACGTTTCTTGGGTCTTGAAATATTTAAAAAACAATTAAAAAACAAACATGTCATGTGAGTCTTGTGAGTCATGTGGATGTGTAAAGAGGAGATCAATGACGATCAAAGACCGGCTTGTTTCTGATTTTCTGTTTGTTGAACGTAGAATTGTCGCTTTGGGCCCTTACCCTTCTCATGAGCAGCCCTCTTCTTATCATTTTCTATCCAAAGTTGCACAGTCCTTGGCTGCTGGACAATGCTTCTCACAAGCAATTGCTACATAAAACATCGATCAAATACAACCAAATGGTCCACTAGATACAGCGACATCCAATATTCACATATATTCACACACTGTCACCCGTCACATTCATGTGCCACACCACAGTAATGTACTTGTACCATCTTGTGCAGATACATCATGATACATCTAGATTCTCGACTTGAAGATGTCAATGACTTCGGACAAGCTGCGCTTGGTGCGAGTCATGCGCAGTTTGTGATAGCTCTGTCAGTGCCCTGGACGTGAGCTCCGAGAAGAGGCTGTCGCCAAGTTTCAAGAGCCTCACATCGCCGCACGTGTCGCAGCTCATCGTGGCGCATGGATTCGAATGGATTCGCAGGGTGGGCATATCCACAGTGCCGCCACAGTTCTGATGCATCATGATTCATTGAGATTGAATGATTTCATACTATCCCTGCGAATCCCTGCCGATCCCTGCCACAATTGTTTTCACATTCAAGCTCAAATAGAGTTCAATAGAGTCATAATGAGTCGTAGAGTCCTGGAAGTTTCTGAGAGACCCAAAATCATCCTGTCACTGTTCGTGTCGTCATGTCGCGTCGTCGGCCACGTAACGTGCTTTCGCGGAGCTCATCTCCCCAGTCCCGAAGAGACCGGCAAGCCTCTTGTCGCGCGTGCCTTCGAAGCTTCGAATATCTTCGAACGCCGTTGTCACGACAAGTGCCACATGTTGTCACGACACAAAATGTCAAAAGTCGGACATACTCTGCAGATCTCTGTGACAAATCTTGGAGTTGAAACATGTTGAAACTTAAAAACAAACAAGATCAAACAAGCATGTATCACAAGGCAGGACAAAAACATTGTTTTGCCGATTCATAACAAATTATCAGGCGGTTGTGTTCTGTTCTAAGCCACTCTGAGCCACTCGCTCGCAAGACACTTGCATGTCAGAGAGAAACTTCTGCATGAAGTCCGGAGTTCCTCCAGCCTGACAAGTCAATCAGCTGTGGGCGAAACCGTTGTTTTTCAACTCCTCAATAGGCAAACAGCAAAAACCAGTAAAACACTGTAAATCAATGCAAACAGAATCAAACCCAATGCAGAATGCATAAAAACCTCTCATGGTCGGTCACTGTTTCCGGGTCTGCGCAGCAGCTGCTGTCTGCGAGTCCACACTTTGGACAAGCAACGAAATCTACACGTGGCACAAGTGGCACATTGACAAGTTGACGTTGAGAACCAAGTTGAGACAACCAAATTGTAGGAACAACTTGATGAGTTGACGTTTCACAAAATTTGACAAGTCAGTGCTCTTGTTAGTGCTCTCATACTCCGCTGGTTCAGCGGATGCCAGGCTAGGCCACAGAGCCGAAAATGAGCCCAGCAATGCCGCAGCTATCCCAGCTATGCCATGCTGTGGCATGCTGTGGCTGTGCTGTGCTTAGCTAACGTTGCATAACGCACAGCTAACGCACAGCTAAGTCACGGAGTCAAGCGCTGCTGTGCACTGCTGTGCACCAAGCTAAAGCGGCTTAAAACGGCTTGACTCATGGCACGCTCAGTACTCGCCGATCACATCCTCAGGAGTAATCTCCGCCATCGTCTTCGGGGTGTAATTGATTTTGCTGTCAGGATTGAGGGTGTAGAGGTCACTGGTGTACTTTCGAATGTCATCCATTTCTGCAAATCTTCGTTTGTTCTCTCTGATCTGCTGATAGCGTTGCATGAAAGCATCTCCATCCTTGATCTTTTGCCGCATTGCTGTCTCTACACCATCACCCTGCAATCGCACAGCACCGAGTGCGAAGGTAATCACACCCATGATGATCAAGCTGGAAAAGCAAGAGAAAAAGATCATGCCATAGGTCACCTGAATCCGTGTTGGGTTCGTAACCATCTCCTTGGTCTCTTCGAACCACTTGTTGATTCGGTAGGTCAACGATGTCTCTCTGGCTTTACCACCTCGGGCTCTGCTCATCATCATCATGTCGAGATCGGTGTCATCCTCCAGAGACAAACCACCTCAGCACAGATCGCGGAAGGAAATGGAAGGAAGCTGAAGGAAGCCACTCAAACTCTACAAGAAGAAACTGCTGTCTACAGGGAAATCGCGAAATCTCTTGCTGGATAATTTACAAAATCACACGAAAAAAGGGATGGATGTTGCAAGTAATGAGGAAAAATCCATCTCGGCACCTGCAGTAGTCAAGGAAAAGTGCCCTGTCGCGTGCAAACAGTTGAGAGAAGTTGAGTGACTTTCCTTTCTTTGATACAATAGCGACAAAAAATTGCCATAGGTGTTGACCCAGACATTTCATCATTGATCTGTCATTCTCTGCTACATTATACTGTGACTCCAAAACCTGCTTCTGACATTTCCCAACAAGTCGCGGAGTTCATCTTCCAAGGAGACCCGCGCCACTGCTGTAGATCTTCTACTTTTTCTTTCGATGGACGTTGCAAAATTGTCAGCCTCTGTGAGAATGTCATCAAAGTTTGCTTTCTTTTTGCCCTCCTTGGACTCTTTTGACTCATCGTTGGAAAAATCGGAATCATCCACTACTGGCGTTCCACCAGTTCCTGTCTCCTTCGTTGCCCTCAACGACACGCTGCCTGCGCTGCCCACGGTGCCGGATACTCTTCGCGCCAGCCCTACGAAGGACAACGAGAGCTGGCATGCAACCGCCGCACAAAGAAAGAGGACCACGCTGCGGGGCTCCAAGCACCGCCTACACAGCCTGCAATCAATCACACATCTTCGCACATCTAGCAGCTCTCGCATCAAACTGGAAGTGGAAAACCCAAAGACATCACTGGCAAAGCTCACATTCCTCTGAAATCACAAGCTGGCAAAGTGTCAAATGTTAATATGCCTCGAGTCAACCTGGACAAATCAATCCGCCCAACTTGCAGGTGTCCAAAGATTACAAAGATAAGATGAAATCATTGAAATCAGCAACAAAAGGCCAGGCCTGCGAACCATGACCAAAACACACACAACACACAAGGCGCGAAACGGGACTGCCAAGAAGGCTGCAGCGAGCAGATTTTGAAAGTCCACAGAGTCCACAGCAAATGATGACTCAAATGACTCAAATGACCAATAAACCGCTTCTCGCTGTCTGCCATGTTGAACATTTCCTTCCACGTCAGAACCTGATCTGACTTGAGAGGGGGAACACGAAAGGTAGGTAAGCAAGAAAGGAACCGAAGAAAAAATGAAGGGGAGAGGGCAGGGGAAAAAACATAAAGTGGAGTCTGGTAAAAGCGACGCGGCCATTTTCTTTCCAAAAATATGAAGGGGAGTCTGGTAAAAGCGACTGAAAGGCTTCGGCGATGTGGTTGGGGTTGGTGGTGGTTGTGGTGTTGGTGGTGTTGGTGGTGCTGGTGGTGTTGGTGTTGTTGGTGTTTTGGTATTGGTGTTGTTGGTGTTGTTGGTGTTGTTGGTGGTGGTAGTGTTTCTGGTGTTGTTAGTGTTGTTAGTGTTGTTGGTGTGGTTGGGTTTGTTGGTGGTGTTGGTGTTGTTGGTCGTGTTGTTGGTGTTGGTATTGTTTGTGTTCCTGTTGTTGTCGTTGTTGTTGTTGTTTGTTGTGCTGTTGCTGTTGTTGCTGCTGCTGCTGATGGTTGTTGTTGTTGTTGTTGTTGTTGTTGTTGTTGTTGTTGTGTTGTTGTGTGTTGTTGTGTTGTTGTGTTGTGTGTTGTGTGTTGTGTGTGTGTTGTGTGTTGTGTGTGTTGTTGTGTTGTTGTGTGTTGTTGTGTGTTGTTGTGTGTTGTGTGTGTGTGTGTGTTGTGTGTGTGTTGTTGGTGTGTTGTGGTGTGTTGTTGTGTGTTGTTGTGTTGTGTTGTTGTTGTGTGTTGTTGTGTGTTGTTGTGTGTTGTTGTTGTGTTGTTGTGTGTGTGTTGCGTGTGTTGTTGTGTGTTGTTGTGTGTTGTTGTGTGTTGTTGTGTGTGTGTGTGTTGTTGTTGTTGTTGTGTGTGTTGTTGTGTGTTGTTGTGTGTTGTTGTGTGTTGTTGTTGTTGTTGTTGTTGTTGTTGTTGTTGTTGTTGTTGTTGTTGTTGTTGTTGTTGTTGTGTTGTTGTTGTTGTTGTTGTTGTGTGTTTGTTGTTGTGTTGTTGTGTGTTGTTGTTGTGTTGTTGTGTGTTGTTGTTGTGTTGTTGTTGTGTTGTTGTTGTTGTTGTTGTTGGTTGTTGTTGTGTTGTTGTTGTGTTTGTTGTGTGTTGTTGTGTGTTGTTGTTGTGTTGTTGTGTGTTGTTGTGTGTTGTTGTGTGTTGTTGTGTGTTGTGGTGTGTTGTGGGGTGTTGTGGTGTGTTGTGGTGTGTTGTTGTGTGTTGTTGTGTGTTGTTGTGTGTTGTTGTGTGTTGTTGTGTGTTGTTGTGTGTTGGTGTGTGTTGTTGTGTGTTGTTGTGTGTTGTTGTGTGTTGTTGTGTGTTGTTGTGTGTTGTTGTGTGTTGTTGTGTGTTGTTGTGTGTTGTTGTGTGTGTGTGTGTTGTTGTGTGTGGTTGTGTGTGTGTTGTTGTGTGTTGTTGTGTGTTGTTGTGTGTGTTGTGTGTGTGTTGTGTGTTTTGTGTGTTGTGTGTTGTGCGTTGTGCGTTGTGCGTTGTGCGTTGTGCATTGTGCGTTGTGCGTTGTGCATTGTGCGTTGTGTGTTGGTGTTATTGTTGTTGTTGTTGTTGTCGTCGTTGTTGTTGTTGTTGCTGTTGCCGTTGGTGTTGTTGTTGTTGGTGTTGGTGTTACCCCTGCAGCGTTTTTGCTCGGTTCCGTAGTGGCCGAAAATCGTCAAATCGGTGGTGTTTTCGCGTGTTTTTGCAACTCTCGGAGCAAAAAACACCGTAAATACCAATGTTTTTGGGGGGTCGGAAGCCCAAAACCACGGTATTTACGATGTTTTTTGCCTCTGGTAGTAAAAAGCACGGTATTTACAGTGTCTTTTGGCCAGCACCTGGCAAAAACACTGGTATTTACGGAGGTTTCACCATGTAGCAAAATGTGGTTTCTTGATCCGAAAAGAACAAACATACTGTAAATTACAATGTTTTGAGTCTGCTCTTAGGGTGCGTGGGAGGTGTGGAGGGGGGGGGGTGGGGTGAAGAGGGGCCCTAGCGTCTACTTCAAGATCAGCTAAGGCGTCTTCCCCAATGACAGCACTCTTTTACTCTCAGCCTGTTGCCGGTCAGTGCTTGTCTACAGGGTTACTCTATATACCTCTTTCTTGAGCCTTGAGGGGCGCATATAAATGTGCTCAATACTCATGCATGTACCTATGTAGGTATTAGGTCGAAACAAAAACACAGGCACAAATTCAAAAGCAATGAGTAGAGCACTACGCCTTGCCGTACCCAATTGGTATTAAGAGTATCTTCCTGACTTCTCTACACAATGGCAAATAGCAAAAGAAACCGGAGTTACGCAGTGGCTTCGAATTGAAAAACACGTGAAAGCAGCGAATGTCCTAAGGACATGTCGAAAAAGAACAGCGGATTCGCTACTTTTTCCAGTAGCGACCAATGGTGCTTCGCGCACGGTCTCTCCACAGGCAAAATGCCTCGCTCTACCGGTGAAAGTTCGAATTGAAAAGTTCGGGTTCGCAAGATTCAGAAATTCAGGTCATACAAAAACAATTGACCAAATCACGAAATAAACGGAAATAGCGGATCTCCAAAGTTGCTCATTCAAGCAAACAATGGACTGAAATCGAAGTTGGTAATTTTTGGAGTTCGCTCCATTCGGAGTGGTCTGCTCGCAGAAAGTTCATGGAGATAAATCTATATAGTATCTCTATTTACAAGAGTCTCTATTTTACATTAAATTGAAGTTCAGACACTTGTGGCATTATCTCTATCTAAAAGAGTATATGCCATCTGTGAGAAATCAATTGAACGCACAGAAAAACTGTACACGGCCTCTCATGCTGTGTTATCTTCAATTAAAGAAGTATACACTCACTCATAGCCAAAAGCTTGATCTCCATGGTCTGGACGAAGAAGATGAGGATCCACCCCACTCTGTGTTGCCCTGATACGTCGATGCTTGATCTTCATATGCCTTTCTCTTTTTCTCCTTCTGTCTTTCCTTTCTTGAATCAGCATACTGCTTCTTCTTGTAGGCCTGTTTGTAATGATGTCGTTCATTCCATGACATATCAGAAGGATCAAGATGGATAAGAATTGGATTATGAGCATCGCGATCATTTGGAGCAACCATAAAGATGTTGTGATCACCATGTAAGCAAGTTTCATTTACCTTGAAGTAAAATTCACCCACATAGTTCATGTGATCTTCATCCTCAAAGTCTTCTGGGTGTTCCTCACACATCAAACGTGAATGACCCCACTCAACAACTGTTAACATACAACAATCACCTTTACCATTTGTATTGTTCATGAGCTCGTCGGTGTATGTTGCTGTTGTAATGCCATCCAAGTGCGTTGCAAGAAAATCCAAGTCACGATAACTGCAAGAAATGAAATGCTTGACCCTGATTGGTGGGCAAGATGAATCAAAATACTTGCGCATGGCTTGTGTTGCAACACCTACCATTCTGTTGATCCAGAATTGGATAAGGCTGTGTTGGTATGTAGGGACACCTGGAGATTTTGGTGTGCTGTAATAGCATGCCTTGTTTCCATCACCTGCGATGAAGTCAACTTGATATCTGGCACACTCAAAAGCCATAACAGCTAAGCACTCACCAACAACCCCAGCAGAGTCTGATGCATACTTCTGTCCGACGTGATAAACGCACACACGTGTCATTCTCATCCTAGCTCTTGTCAAGTCAACAATCTCATCTGTATCTCGATCCTTTGTCTTTCCCCAAGATACTTCAAAGATTGCCCATGAGACTTGTCGAACTCGTGTGTCGGTCATCTGTGTGATATCCAGCAATTTGCTTGATATAGCCATCCTTTCCAAGGCGAGCTGCCACCATCAAGTCATGATAGTCATTGAAGCAAGTTTTAAAGTCAACCTCGTCGAGTCTTTCTCTGTGAGGATACAACGAACCAGCCTCGCAATTCATGAAAAGATGTCCTCCAAAGTTCTTGATGACATTGATGAAGTAATTGTTGAACTGTGATTTGCTTTCATCAAATTTTTCATGATCCTCATCGATAGTGTAGTCAATGTGTGGAATGAATTGTTGAAATCTTTCTGGAACCGGGCATTTTTCAAATCTGTTTCTGCACCAGTTTCCCAAATTCCAAAACATTGCTGTTATCTGTGGAGAGGATCTGTATGGAAATTCGGCATCCTTGTAAGTTGGGTCTGATAGGCCTCCACCTAAATATCTGTAAGCCAAGCTATGCAAGATCATACAGTAAGGCAAGACCTTGTGGTCCTCAACGTAATCTTGGAGTACCCTTGTGAGATTTCCAAAATCGTCATCAATCCTCTTTTCTGCTTCTTTTGAGGATCTTTTTGCCTTGTCTTGATGAAGAGGATGCATCCTAGGATCACTACAACCATATTCAATGCGCTGATTGAGTTCTTGTAATTCTAGTTGTGGATCCTGATCCTTGTGTCTGGCAATGTACTCAACCATCAACTGGTCATCTGTAAGATGGTACCAATAATCTTGATGTGGAGACATGGTCTTCCTGTACTTAACATGCCAAAACATGTGTCGATGCTTCGAAGACGCTGGATAACCTTTATTGTAAAATCCTGCCCATTCACCATGGTAATCATCTGAAAAACAATCCTTCAATTTTCGAAAAACTGAATCATCTTCGTTTCCAGTGATATCTTGACCATAGTAAAGTCGAATTGCAGGTTTCACTTCA